TTGAATGTAAGTTATAAGTTGATATTATCTTGACAAGAATAATGAATGGTAAATGTTGGGATCAATTTATATATATATATATATAGTATAATTGTTAAGCAACTAAACTATGTATATTCATATTCTTCTTATTATAAGCTTTATTTTAACCTCTAGACTATTATACACTTTACTATACTTGAGTTATGCCTAGTTTATTAATAACAGTCTCTCACATAAATAACTACTATTGGTTTGATCTTGTACAAATGTTATTTTCTATTTTATGGTATGGTGTGGTCTGTTTGGTATGTGTATAAATCTAGTATGTTTGAAATACATGATTAATAATATGAAGGCTAAGATTTGTGTTCTGGATTAAACAGGCAGGAAGGATCGATAAAACTCTAAACTGGTCGTACGGGTTTATGCGTCATTAGTCCGATTGATAAGTCACTGTTCTTTAATTGTCGGTCTCTTTACGTTATATATTGATAGGGCATAAGACTACAACTTATAATATAACTATCGACTTAGAATACGCAGATGATATAGTCCTGTTTGGTGAAGACGCTGATAAAATGCAGAGTCTTCTGGTAGCACTAAGCAACAATGCCAGAATGTTTGGAATGCGCTTCTCTCCCTCTAAATGCAAATTGTTGCTTCAGGACTGGTCTGCGTCAACACCTGAACTAAGGATAGGGAGTGAAGTAGTCGAACGCGTTGACAACTTCACTTATCTTGGAAGTCCGATCAGCCCTAATGGGTTGGTATCTGACGAAATCTCAGCATGGATTCGAAAAGCTCGCTTGGCTTTTGCCAACTTGCGTCACCTATGGCGAAGGAGAGATATCCGTCTATCAATAAAAGGACGAGTATACTGCGCGGCAGTCCATTCTGTTTTAATTTACGGCAGCGAAACATGGCCATTAAGAGTAGAAGACACCCGTAAGCTACTAGTATTTGACCACAGATGCCTTAGAAATATTGCTGGCATCTGCTGGGATCACCGAAGAAATAATAGTGAGGTTAGACACAGGGTATTAGGGAATAATGGTAAATCAGCTGATGAGGTTGTTAATCTTCATCGACTGAGATGGTTGGGCCACGTGTTACGTATGCCTGAACACCGACTACCGTGACGTGCAGTGCTAACCGGTGCTGGAGATGGTTGGAAGAGAATTAGGGGCGGCCAAAACAAAACGTGGCATCAGTCCTTGAAGTCACTAACTTCTAGTCTGAACCATGTTGGGAGATGCAGACTACTTGGTTGGGGTCCGTGTGACTATCGTAATAAATGGTTGAAGACTTGGTGAAATGGCTCAGAATCGACCACAATGGCGTCGGTGTATACACTTGCTGTCTTTCCTTAAACTAAGAGATTAAAATCGCTTCATATCTTTCTTTCTACGAACTAATTCTTTCTTCCTATACTATATACTTATATGCAATATCTTTTATATATTACCACAACTGAATTAACTACTTTTATGAATCCGGTGTTCATCTTGTTGTGTTAATGAGGTATGGCAACTTGGACCGATGCATATTTATGCCTGGTCCTACGTTGTAGCTGACTGACTGGCTATAACATAATTGATTACAGATACTGAGATGTCAAATATGATTAAAGTGCTTATCTATCACATTGTATCGTAGTTTACGGGAGAGTAGTATGGTGTTTGTAGCATGAACTTATGGTGTATTTAAAACTTTTGAGTAATTATAAAACTATGTTGAGGAAATTCAAAAAAAAACATCTATTGAGATAAATAGTTTAATATTTGATTGTATTATATTTGATTTCGTATAGTTGTATAAAAGTCAAACAATATTCATCTCAGTTTCCTCTTGTGGTTAACATACACTTATTTAGTATAGATAAGATACCGTAGATTTAAATTTACCACTAAAGTCAGGAAGATGAATTCTAATTTTGATAATGAACTAATTACCTGTAAATTCAGAAAATGTTCAACATTAAATAAACATGATTTTTAAAATATTGTTTTGATCAAAAAATGTTAGATTTTTTCAGATAATGTCATTTCAATTTATGGATATTATCACAGATTGAAATCATGAGTCAGTTGAAGCTAGACCACCATCAGTGGTCTAATAGTTAAGTACTCACGCGCGAAGCCAGTAGGTCCTGGGTTCGAATCCCGCGGGGTGCGGGATCGAGGATGCGCACTGCTGAGGAGTCCTATACTAGGACGAAACTGCCATCCAGTGCTTCCAGGTTTTCAATGGTGGTCTAGCTTCAACTGACTCATGATTTCAATCTGTGAAAATTTCTAAAATCTCCAAACACCTTCTGATATTATGTATATTAAACAATTTGTCGTAAATGTTTATGTGGTGTAAGTCAATTCATCATAAGCTTTTAGTAACGAATGTTACAAAAAAGTATAATAGAATACATAGGAATTATGCAGCGAGTAGTATGTTTGAAATGTTTTCGTTGTAAAATGAATAGCAGTCAGGAAGTTAGTTCATTTTAAATCTGAGATCTTCAACAATTTGCATAGAATTGAACCAAACATTGATTGATGTACATCCATGAAGTGAGACATATAACATGTCGAATGGAATGAATATCATGCATTAACTCAATATGTCTCCATCACTTGGATAATATAACGTCAGTGGACTAAAAACTTTTATTATAAACATGAATGGAAGTGCCAGTTAAGATTAGACTGTATCACATGATAATTTATGTATATCGAGTAAATAATTTTTAGAAGAATAAGTGAACTTTTAACGTAATTGAAGGATACGAAAGGAAACTAGGTTAATGAGTGTGGTGGTTTACAACATATTGTACACTATTATCTTGAAGATAGTTCTCAGAGATTCTAACATACATCATTCACTATTGTAATTAGTGAAATTACTGTTGGATTGTTTTCAACCACTTAACGCCAAAATAGACAACTATAATGAATTACTTACCATTTGACAAAATCCTATCATCATTACAAACTAAACAGTATGACATATGTTCTTATGCAATGATCGGTTGGTGTGGTATCATTACATTTATTCCCTTTTTCTATAACGTTATTTCCACACATATAGCCTCTTATGAGGACGAGTAGATTGAATCTCCTCTTCCCATCGAAATGATCGTAAAGACGAGGCGTTTGGTTTACTTCCTCTAGTGTTTTTCTGAAAGTGGACGAAAAGCAAAGTCAAAACTGGTCAGTCGATACAGAGTACCTCCCCAGGGGATTTGCAAAACCGATTGCCACGGGATTGTATTTTCTGGTAGTGTTGTACTATGTTGCGGACTAGATCTTTAGGTTGCATGCTAGGGTAGTAGCTCTCTAAGAAAATCACCTACTTCGCTTCGAGCACCCAGGCAATAATCCATAAACCAGAAATATGGAAAAACAAATATTTTTAGAGGTAGCAAGTTAAAGCATTTTCTACACCAGAGAGTGGATGGTTCACTACATATAACTAAAGGTATTAAGATTACTGAGATATGGGTATTCAAACTACGCACATGCTAATGGAGAACAATTTTCGTACCCGATAAATATAACTATAAAACGTCAGACAACATTTCAAAACAGAGTTACTGAACGGGAAAATATGTACTATTCGTTGCAACTGTTAAAAGGATCACATTAAAATATGTGCGAAACCGAATACTATATTAAGTGATGGATATGCATAAAATGAACTACTTAGTTTATATTTTGTTGCATACCTTCCAGCTGTCTATGCCAATATGGAATAGATTTCAAATTATAGACCTCTGATCATTAATATTAACAGTTTAAGTTGCCAAACAGTAGGTTAGCTCATCGCGGAGTCAAAATATATTTTCGACGATGCATAACCTAAAATCTGTTTCGAGCTGGTCGTCGATTACATTCAAAATCATATTCTATATTTTCCTGGCAGATTTCACCTTGTTTGTTTCCGAATGAAATGATGTTTGACATTTTTACAATTAACTGTTTCTGCAACAACAGTGAGAATCAGTATTAAAGTTAAACAGATGATAATTGAATTTTCATTATCACTTTGTGGAGATTACTGAATTTCAGTGGTCTAGAGGTTAAGCATTCTCGCGCGACCGAAGGTCATGAATTCGACTCCTACGTGCGAGGACGTGGGTGTACACTGCTGAGGATTTCCATACTAATACGAAAAAAATCATCCAGGCTATCAATAGTAGTCTCACTTAAATGTTCATGATTCAACTAACTAGAACAGTGCGTCAATGATTAAATTATTCGGCTTTCAATGACCAGATCACAGATTTAAATCTAATTTCATCTACTTCTGTTTGGGTACTCGGACAACAAAAATCACTAGCTCATAGCATACAGTTAACTACACAAATCTATATCGGTTAAATGAATTATGCTTGATTATTATATTGTTATAAACATTTAATGAACATATTTGAAACAGAACAAATCCTACATTTGATTGTTCGTCATTAGTATTTACTAAAAGGTACAAAAAACACTTTTTTTTCCTCTAAATTATCAATGAAACAAAGAAGTAACGTAATAATTGAAACAGGCAAATCATTTTTAGTTTAAATGGTATTAAGTATATACGAAATCATTATTTAGTTCTAGAGTTTATGGTACTCTTTAATCATATGGGAACTATGTTGAATTTTCTTTACTACTCACTTCTCTCTATCACTATTCCTTCTTATTGATTGATTTTTCCCATAAACTATGTAATATTTGCAAGGGGAAAGCAAAAAACAAGGACAGGATATTCTTTTCCAAAAATATTGATAAATTTAATAACTACACTATTGCTATACTCTTTTATGTAAGACAAAACTCACAGAAAGAAAGCCAATTAAGAGAAGCTAGCAAGCAATTGAAAGAGAAGTAATGGGGAGGGGAAATAAACTAAGCAAATAGTACATGTTTTCTGTTTTTGTTTTTTTTCCCTATAAAATACATAACAATAACAATAATAATGATAATGAAAGAAGTCAGAGAACTAGAATCGAAATCACTAAGGCAAATAAGGCTAAATAATTGAACAAATATTAAATCTCAAATAAAGAAAACAAAACATCTCTGTGAAATTGGTATATAAGTCCGTAGGCGTAGGCGGTGAAGTAGATGATACATGCATACAATGAATGTTCGGTTGGACAGGTGAGTGCGCACGCACGCATATACAGAAATACTAAGGCGCAAAGAAGTGCAGGAACGAAGGTACTACATGTTCAACTAATAAAAGAATACTAATATTATACTGAGTATCCGGTTTAATTAATCAAAAACGGTTGTTGTTATTATTATTACTCTGATATTGTCACCACTTATCAGTAGTAATAGTAGTATAATTGTTACATTAAAAAGCGGTTATAATCATATTGACAATTAGTGACCATTTTAATATCCTGAGAAATATCCCATATATATATTCTATAAAATAGTGATTATCTGTCCAGTGAAGAGAAAGGATTGTTGTGGAGGCGCACAGTTAGTTTGAGTGCTGGTCAGTTTATAATCTATTTGAAATGGATCTCACAAAGGGTTTATCAAAACAATAAGAGTAGCTTAGCGACAAAAAAGATATATGGTCTTTTATCAGACAAAAATAACCTGAGTGCTATAAATATTTTCTTCTTTGTTCAAACGGGATAAAGACTAGTTGAAAAAAAGACAAGGAACACACGTACACATTAGTATAGAACACAGTATGACCGAGAGGTTAAGCTTCAGAAAGTACCTCAGACTTGACTAATTCCTTGTTTAGTTCATCTTGACAACCGACTACACGTGTAGTCATCAATGAAATACGACACCTAATACAGACTAATACGATGAAAGTGCAAATTAGTACAAAGAAACAAGTTAACGCTGCTGCTCCGATTAGAAAAGTCATCATAAAACGATCTCCATGTAATAATGAAGAAAATGATAATGATGATGACCAATATAAATTATTCAACACAGGTGACAACTGATTATTGTCATAATTATAATTGTGTGAAAGTAATGGTTTGAATAAATCGAGTGAACGGAAATCTGGCAGATTAATCGATGATAAATAAGCCATTAAACTATGTATATGAATTGGACGAATTTCTTTGGTAAAATTTAATTGAACACCACGATTAGAATTTGGACCATAAATAAATAATGGAATATGCATGTCAGGTAGTTCTGGATCATAGCCATGCATTCCTTTAGGATCGATTAAATTGTAATGACTCATATTTAATGGCCATGCATTGGAATGAAATATATAATCCGGTGAAGCGATTAACAATATCGGTGGAAATAATGAATTATTATTATTCGTCATAATTTCCCAATGTGAAGGGATTGTCGATGAATTGTATACAGTGAAAGGAGATTTACTTTGTTGAATTAGTAAGCGATTATAAACCTAAATGTTTCGAAGATGAAAAGAAAAGTAAGCAATTGTGAAGATGAAAATCTACTAAATAACATTAACTTAGAATAATCAATTATGAATATATATCTTCAATATGAACGTCAAGACAGTACTACTGTACGGAACTGAAACTTCGAGAAGTACCACAAACATAATCAAAAAAGGTACAAGTATTCATAAACAGTTATCTACGCAAGATAATCAATGTCCATTGGCTGGAAACCATCAGAAACAGCCTACGGTGTGAGAGAACAAACTAGCTTCCAGCGGAGGAGGAAAGTAGAAAAAGAAGCTGGAAGTGGATAGAATATAAATGGAAGAAATCAAAGTGCATCATGAGGCAAGCGCTTACCTGGAATCCTAAAAGTAAACGAAAAAGTGGAAGGCTAAAGAACACACTGCATCAAGAATCGGAAGCAGACATGAGAAGGATGAATAGCAACTGGAAAGAATTGCCCAGGACAGGGTTGGATGGAGAATACTGGTGAAAGACCTATGCTCCTCGACAAGGGGTAACAGGAGTATATATATATATATTGTAGCGAACGAAGACTCGCTGGGGTAAATCGATTCATTATTTCGGGCAAAATTACACAGTGCCTTTGTAAAATATGAAAACGATAAATGAAATACATCATTTGCACATATTCCTATAGTTGTCCTTTACATGCTTCATGATTCTTATAATTATGTTGTTATTCCAACTGTTCCCCGTGTTTCTTCTTGTTCACTTCATTTCTGCTGGTAGGCATTCCACTTTCAATTCCTACTAAATACTATTTATATCTGTCCACATACGTAGCTCATGATGGAGAAAGATCACTCTCCTATTGACAGATTTATTTTGCAGTGATTATTGATTAAATCTATATGATTAGGACTCAAATGTATGCTATAGTGAAAAAAACGTCATACTGAATAAAATACATAACGAAAATGGCCATGATACACTAAAATATAATTCTGAAATAATCGGTGATCTTATACTTCTTACTACTTGTTCTCCTTAAAGAGTAGTAAAGTTTCTCTATTGATCTTACGGAAATTTTCTTTTTTTATGAAATTGTTGGTTTTAAAGGTATGTCCCACCATAGCGTACTATTTAGTTCCTTCTCAACTGATGTTTCTGTGTTGATATTCGCAATTGGTCAACAGGATGGGGTAAAAGTTGTCAACTTGATTGAAATGTAACTTGGTTACCCAGTTCAGGCTTATGAATTTATCATCTAAGTTAGACGGTTATGGTGAGGTTTAACAAACTACTCCCGGTGAAGTTGGATTTAAACCCATAACCTACTAATTGAAAGTAGAGTGCTCTAACTACTAAGCCATCACTCTAGACATTAATATCTCCATTTTGTTTTGAACTGTCATAGAGAAGGGTTTTTTATAAAACTTATGGTCATAAGCATACTTTACTTATTAAAATGATGATTCGTAGATAATCTGTAAAAATACAATATATTCGATGAACAAGTCAGTTCGTCATAATTAACGTAGAGAGTGGTATAAATGTAGGGTGACCCAAGTTGATACACACAAGACTATTGAGAACGCCAAATATCGAAATAATAAATGCAGGAAAAAACTAACTTTAATCTCATTAATCAAACGTAGGATATTGATAGCACAATCAACATGAATGTAAATTTGCATACTAAACTTCAAGATTACAATTGAGGTTTTAAAAAATAAGAAAACGAACTAGATAAATGAGGGTTATTGATTTATCTAGTTCGTTTTCTTATTTTCGGGGGTTATTGATCCCGAACGTTGTTGCTACCTTGACGTAGTGGTCGGGCTTGCCTATCGTGATGAAGCAACCGAGCTATACTGGCTGGAACAACTGTTCCTCAAGATCCTACCATGTCAGAAAGGTCGGTTGAAGAGTGGTAAGAATAAAAGCAACAAACCCAAGGTCCGAAGGCGAAGTCGTACTGCTGACTGTACAGAGGTGTGACAGCAGTAAGGTGTTTCCCTCGGACAACCAGCATAACAGCGATGCTGCCTTCCCACAAGGAGGGGTGGGGTTAGAAAAGGTCGACCCTAAAAATGCACACCTTGCCTTATCCCACGGATATCCGTCTCAGGCGGTAAGGTCTCAACAAGTACGGAGCTAACATAAAAATTACCCATAAAAAGGTCGTGTGTGACCGACCTCAAGCAGTTGTCCCTTGGGCACTGCGGTCACGCTCTCAGGTCACTAAGACCACCTCTAATCCAATTTCCTTTTCAGGTACCTCCAGAACAACCCTTCCACGATGTGGGCAACCTGGAAGTGATAACCGCCCTCATACCTCTAACAGCACTCAAGACCACAGGGGTTATTGATGTGTGGGCATGAATGATCATGATTGGTTGTCTGCTTAGTCAGACATGTAGATAGTCTGACAGGTGTCAGATAAGTTATGTATTCTCTTATCCTTATTATTGGGACGCACTTATTACTGATTGTTCATTGTTGTGGAATGTGTCGGTTTTGGTGTGGAAATATATTTACGTTGTGGTCAGGCTAATTACGTGTTCTTGATCTGAGTTGTGTTGACGTCCTGTAGAATAGACACTGGGAAGGAATCTAGTGTAGATAATCGTTTAAGGTAAGTTAACGTCCCATACATGTAAACGTGGAAACCCAATCGTTATAACATCAGACGAAGTAAAACCAAGCGCTATAGCAGATATTGTTAAACACAATGACAGATAAGCGGTAATCAGTGTGTTGAATTTTGTTGATAACAACTTACATTGTTTTCAAATTCTGGTTTAGGCCAGATCCACAATGTACTTCCACGATTCAGTACTCTATCCAACTCTGAGCTACAAACAAGGAAAAGCAACAAAAAAATACATCACCTTTAAAAACTGACGAGCAGTTGTACAACAGTTACAATAATTCTACTGGTATGCAAAATGTCCAGATCTATACTGGATTTGTACGATGATATCACTTGTGTAAAAATGGCTTAAACGTCAACAGAATTAATATAGACATACTATTCGTGATTTAAACTGTTAAAATTCTAAAATCTCCACAAATTGCCTACACTACTAATAGTCATGTGCTCACTGATGACTTGCTTTGAGATGTAACTCATGGAGTTCTAGTGCGATGTCGTGACCAGTAAAGTTCAAGCCGTGTCGGGTGTGAAACAGCTATCCAGAGTAGGCAAACGATGATGGTTGCGCAAGATCATGGATTAACTGAAGTCAGATATTAACGCGGCAAGATGTCGGCCCAGTGGCCTAGAGGTTAAGCGGTTGCGCACGAGACCGAGGGTTCTGGTTCGACTCTGATTGCGAGTCCATTGATGCGCACAGCTGAGGAGTCCCATGCTATGGTGAAAAGGTAGTTCAGTGCTTCTAGGTTTTCAGTGGTGGTCTAGCTTAGATAGACTCATGAATTCAACTGTGACAATCTGAATTCATTGAATAATGAAGAAAAAATGTTAGTCAATTGTTTTAAGAATTATGAAACAAGGCATGAAGATTTTTCTCAACTATTAAAATACTGATATGTATGTTTAACTTTAAACTGTGTTGTGCTTGATTGTGTAGGAGAGGGGCTGATGATATCAATGCAGTCTATTAATATAGAAAGTTTAAAATTTTAGACGTTTTGCACCCAAACGCTTTATTAAACGTACGTTAAAATAATTCCCAAAATTAAAGACAACAAGCATCTCATGAAATAACCCATATAATATTTCTTCTACACTAATAAGACACTAAATTCCTTAGGACGAACAATGAACGATTTGTCAACCCGATCCTTCTATACTAGATACTCAACTAGCACTATTCTACAAGGTATCAACACAACTCAAATCAAGAACACGTGATTCACCTAACTAGTACGTGAATTAGCTAACAATCGAGTATGTACAAAGGGTCAGGGGAAGATGTATGACACATCATATATCTATCAGTCGTCTCTCTGGGAAAACAACCAATGATTATTTCCTATCACCCACATAACAACGAAATGAGATGAGACTCCTAAAAGAGTGAATTCCATTCAATGAAAATATATCCCTTCTACCCCACTACTACCAAATTTGTATCGAGAAGCCGAAGATCTGTCAAAACTGCAATCACCAGTCGGCTAGATTTATCAAAACACAGATTCAAGGAGAATTTTGTTTAAATATTATTATTTCAAAAACTGTTGTTATTTTTAGCTATTATTATCATCAAATTTAATTGACGACTGTATAGCAAGTAAATTTTAAAGAAAAAATGACAAAGAAACATTTAACTAAGTAAAAACGAATTTAAATTCTGTACTAATCGTGAACAATAATTACATAACCAAAGAAAAGGCAATAGTATATAAGAATCAATAGAGATATGTTCACTGATCAACTATCATCCTACATTGATTCATGTGACTTAACAAAACAAAATAATTAGTAGAAAATCAATGTAATGCATCAATGTACAACTAATTCATTATGACAATATCTACATAATCACTTTGACAAAAACAAAAGCATAGAACAAACAACAAATACAAAATAATCATATGTCATTTTTTTTTAAAATTGTTCGTAAGTTGTAAAAGATCGACTATGAAATGATCAGTAGCTCATTAGACAGTCAGTAAGTTAGCTACAATGCAGAATCAATCATATATATACATCCATCCGAGTTGTCATACCTCACCAGCACAACACGATGAACACCAAATTCATAGAAGTAGTCACTTCAATGGTAATAATATATGAAAGAAGGGTTGCATATAAGAATATAATATAGGGAGAATCACTTCGCAGAAAGAAAGGTAAAAAGTAATTTTAATCTCATGGTTTAAGGAAAGACAAAGAGTGTATACACATACGCCATTGTGATCGATTCTGAGCCATACCACCCAGAGTCTCCAACCAAGTCCTTTGCATCTATTAACTTGGCTCAGATCAGAGGTTAGTAACTTTATGAATTGATGCCAAGTTTTGGTTTGGCGAGAGAATTTCTGCTAGTTTGGTGGAAAAGTATGGAAACTACTGAAGTAGGAGTAGTGTGCAGAAAGTGAAACCCCTAACATTTTTTTCTAAAATTACAGTTAGACAATGAGAAACGTCAGATCAACTCGGATGACGATTGCCTACAGCAATGTCAAGATCTAAGTAACAACATATTTCCTTATATATATATATATATATATATATATATATATATATATATATATATATATATATACATATGAGGGTAATTACAACAAACAAATGTATTAATATATATCACATCTCACCATTCGACTTTGCTAAAAAGAAATCGATCCAAAGCAGTTAATACATATATGGAGATATGGATGAGAGTATTTCCAGTTAAGGTATGCTTTAGGCTTGAAATAAATAAAAATTCTGCCAGTGTATTATTTATGATGAAGAGGTTAGATCTTCAAAACATTTTATACATCTGTAAACTATACTATCTGAGAAAAACTAGACAGGATTATCACTAGTCCAATTAAATTAGTTTAGCATTAGGATATTTGTAGGGATATTAAAATTCGGATAAATATAACACATATTAATTATTAACTGCTTTCATAACCAGTAATAGTTGTTTGAAACAAATTGAACATATTTTATATTACACAACCGAAGAATAATTGTAATGTTAGAAAATTAATTGTAATTCTGTATCACGTTCAAAACCTTATACTATCAACTTTCTGTTTCCATTAACGAATTGTCGTAATCTCACGTTAGTGTTATTTCTGATTGTTGTCAAATGCTTTCGTTATTAAATATAAATGCAATCTATGTGCATACCGAGTCGTCGTCTCACTTTTTCTATTGTTTTTCTCTGTTCTAGGTAATCTCACTTACTACTTCTAACACTCCCCCAACACACAAGGTACCGACCTTTAAGCCAGACATAAACTTACCAAAGATTGAACGTCACACTCATAACCTATTCAGTGAACTTGTGTGTTTGATTAATGCATTCTAAACAGAATGTAACAAAATATACTTTGATACTGTTCAGATGGATTAAATGATTTTTTGGAAGTCATTATTCATAAGATCAAGGTTTAAAATGTTCAAAGTTGCAAAGTACCACGGCAAGGACAAGGAATCAGAAAGTTTACAATTTTGCCCAATCATTGTTTTAATATGAAGTACGATAAAATATATGCCACATAGCACACGATAACAATTAATGAAAAAATTTAATAAAGATGAGGAAGATATTGAAGTAAAAAAAAAAACAACAATGAAATGGGGTTGATGCTAGACAGCAATACTAACCACAAGAAAAAAAGATTATTCCTTGTTATCTGAGACTTTCAACCACCAATTTTTATCATTCTGAAGAATTTACTAACAAATTTTAGATCACTACGTGCAAAACCAAGTCAATAGTTAGTGATTTTGTGGAAATGATGTCATGGCTTAACTAAATCCCCTTTCATGTTATCACAGGCTAACGTTTACTTCAATCAATACTGTGTAATAAGCGTAAATAATGTGGGGAAAAAAACAATAAAACAATAACACATTTCTTACTGTCGAAATTCAATTTACAGTTGTGCTTCATAAATGAAGTTCGAAATGTTAAAATAAACAAAACACAAACATGAAGGTCATGTAAATATGGATTGGCCAAAAAAACAAACATAATTGGTAGTCGAGTATTAAAATAAAATGTCGATCAATAATAATAATTCCTATTTAATTACTAATATCTTATACTGATCCCGTTTAGTGGAGTAAAAGGAGTTGAAGATTTTCAGCAACAATTTACCTTAACTAATTGGTTTTAGAAAATGAACATTTTTCATGATGAAATAATGAAGATGCAACCGAGATGGAAAGTTAAATGAACATTTAAAACAGTAAGACAAACTAACTGAAATGTCAGAATGGGGGTTTGTGAAGATTGTAGCAATTTTAATATTTGAATTCATGAGTCAATCTAAGCTAGACCACAGTTGAAAACCTGGAAACACTGAACTGCCGTTTCGTCCTAGCATGGGAGTTCTCAGTAGTGCGTATCCACGATCCTACATGAAGGACATACTGTCTCGCGCGCGAACGCTTAATCGTTGCGCAAGATCATCAGTCTATTGAAGACATCAACACCGTTGGATGCCACCGGCTTAGTGATCTAGAGTTTAAGCGTTCGTCCGTGAGACCGAAGGTCCTGGGCTCAAGTCCTGCATTCAGGATCGTGGACGCGCACTACTGAGTACTCCATACTAGGATGAAACGGTAGTTCAGTGTTTCCAGGTTTTCACTGAAATATCGCGTCTAAATATTACATCAATTGGTTGAAATAAAATTAAAGTCAGATTAGCACTAATGTTTTACAGATTATACGGCAAAGGATTTTATCGACTCATTTATTTATAGCAAATAAAAACCCCAATATATTAGGACAGTAAGAAAATGGGCCTCATGAATAAAATGATTATATCGGGAATAAAATCAGAAGCGAGGAGGCTCGCGTACAGTTAAAATAAGTAAATGAACAAGAACAGTATTTATTGAGGAAAATACAACCAGGAAAGATTTCCTCCATTTAAAAAGGTTCATCTCACTACTATGGATAATGTAACGGGAAAATGAATCACAAAATATACTGACTTCTACACTGAAGCGTATCTTATGAAATATAAATTATTCTGAATAGTTCGATGATTGTGATCGGAAGATTATCTATGATAAAGAGTGTGATAGTAGAACTAGCATCTACTGATGATTCCTAGTATTTCTATAATTGAAGTGGCTCTCTCATGTCAGAATTCACAAGCTTATCAACTTAAAGTTGATTCATGATACCTTTTAGTAACTATGTGATAAAACTGCTATTCCAGGTTTGATTTTAAAAAATTAACCAGTCAGTTTTGATTAATACAGAGCTTGCCATAGATGTGCATTATCCCAAGTTAACATAACACATTAGTAGTAGTAGCAATAACAATGAAAAAGACTAATAGTTGAAAGTATGATTTAAAAAGGTAGAATGAAAACGTATAAACAAAGGAATACTATAACTAGAGACCTAGGGTAATATAAAGAATGAACGAACTACTCAATGTCTTGAACAACGCAGACCCCAATCTGGTAGTTTGGATCTAACAACATAGCCCAGATCGACGGTCAATAACTTTATGGACACTTTAGCGATGGTAACTGTTATTTCAAAGTACAAATTTTCGTTTTATTACAAAACTAGATAGCAAACATATTACACAGGCGAAATAGATTTTGATGCAAACATACAAAAAAACATGTTGATGGTTGTTTAAACAAAGATAGAAATCACATCTTACCCTTTAAAATAACGATCAGCATATGCTTGATGTGAGACAGTCGCCATACCATGGTCAGAAGTTAGCATTAAATTTAAATTTGGTATAGATTCTATTATGTTCAATGCATGGTCTAAAACATGATCCAAATACACTAAATGTTTATGAACTAATTCATTAGATAATGGACCATATCTATGTCCGATACGATCTAATTCATCGTAGTATACCACTGAAACAGAGAAAAAGATAAAAAAGAGTAAACAAAAAACAACGTATGTAATATTCACTATGTAATAAGTCCATTTTTTTTATTAAAGTTGTATGATGGGTAGCAGTGGAATTCAGTAGTTGATCTTCGCCCTATCAAAGGTTCAGTCAGATAAATGTACCTGCATTCCAGTGTTAGTATTCACACTGAGATCTGAACCCAGTATCGTTCGCTCCAAGAACCAATGCGTTATTTCATGAGCTAGAGTTCAAATAACCTCTGCTTTGTAGCTGAGTGAATAACGCGTTGATATTTGGAGCAAAAGGACTGTGTTTAAATCTTAATGAGAGCATCAACAATGGGATATGTGTACATCCGGTTGGTTTGGTCCCAAACAAGACAAAATACGTGTCCCCAAATCCACACCACACCATTATCCAAATTTAGTAAAACATGTGACTAAATGACAACAGGGAAGCCATTCACTCAGGATGCATATATGTTAAAAAGTCACTGATCTATTGTAGACTTTAACAACTAGAAAGTAAAATCCCTTACAAATGATAAATCCATATATTATATCATAAGATGACAAGTCTTTTGTGAGATAACTAAGAATAAGGCAATTCAAACAAAAATGAATACAAAATACCGTGTTAATTCAAATGATCTCCTAAAATCGGACAAATGATTATACAAATTAAAAAGGAAGTGATAAATCTAAACCTATTGGGTACCAAAACCAGTGATTTGTGAAGGTTAAGTCCTTCCTTGGAGTCGTAAATTTTCCTGATCCGATTCCTGGTAGGATTGTGAATAGGCATTATTGAGAAGTCCCATACTACGATGAAACAACTATTACTTATTTTCTGATCTTCAATGATTTTCTAAGTAACCTTAGTCTCGTTACAACTTCCTGTACCAAAAAAATTAACGACCTATTTTATCCGATTAGAGTCCATTTTTGTGATAGGTGCATATCGAAACGATGAAATGTGGACTAAGTGTGAGTATTTTGGGGGGAACTCGCAAAATAATTGACAAGAGTACAATGATAATTTGAGCCAACTAAAATGATTTGCGCAAACATTTTACCCTTGACAAAATGCTGCTTATCATCTCACCAACAACTAGCCAACATACTCTTACAATAGTAAAATTTTCATACACAACTGTCATAACTGTTAACTTAGACTGTCTTATTATTACAGGTGAAGATATTTGTTTGAAATCTATCTGCTGCATAGTCTGCTCATAGGTTGAGTGAAAATACAATGATTTCAGAAGAAACTAAATTTAGCCCATCCCCTTCCAAAGACATAAAAAATTGAAATTTTCAAACTTCAATAAAACGAATAATCACTATAAACAAAGAGATGACTAGTGAACAAATTCATTAGCCTAATCCATAAATCTTTGAAGATTGAGCCGATTTTGGTGGAGTTTTGTTCTCTGAGCTAGATGGTTTGGTCGTGGAGCTTTCATCCACCTGAGCTACAAATCTTCTCCACCAGATTGAGCCGATGTTTAGTTACTGAGGTTTGAGAATTCGAACAAGAAAACCAATGACTATTGAGCACACACTAAGACGAAGCAAATTAGGAGTAATTTTAAATTCTATTGTTAGATATTAACAAACTATTTCTTAAAAAATAAATAGGGAAAAAATCTATTAGAATGGTTAGTTAGAATAAGAGATGAAAACTATTGTAGATATTTCATTCAGTTTTATGATACGGACATTCTGTATGGAACTATAGGAACAATTAAAAAAGAAAAAAAGATCAAATAATTTACATTGGTTCAAAATTTTGTCTACCCAAACAGGAAGTGAATATAATTGTGACCGAACAGACAATTTTTTGATTTTATAGTTAAAATTAACTTCAACAAAGTTCGAATAGTTAATAACTATGCATGAATTTATCATTATGCATGATTTATCAAGTAAGTACTTAGGATTGATGACGTGGATGGTAACATTAGTCGTTATGGAGAAACTTGTGGCTCGAAATCGAATTGATATACACGTACTTACCTACTGAATTACATTACTTAACATTTATATTACACGAGCCAGTCAAATTTGTAAAGAGTTGGTTTTTATGTCACATCATGCGCAGTGACTGTGAATTTAACATTCAACCTGTGAGTTGTAAGTTTGAAACTCGTTATATCTATGAAAGTTACGATGATAACAAAATCTTTACATAATGAGGCTTTTAACTCAATAAGCATAAACATGTGATGACTTAATTCAATATAAATAAGAGACAGTAAAAAAAATAATGAAAATGTCACGACACCCATTAAATCCCCTTAGTCGATGTTGATAAACAGAGGAAAAACATCAGTTACAAACCTAATAAACATCTCGGCAGACACGTTAGATTCACAAGAAATTTAGATATAGAGCAAATTACAGTGCCATATTTTGCAAGAACACATCATTACAATGTAAAAATTGTCCAGCTAGCTAAAAGTTAACAACTGAGATGGGGAATTCCCAAAATAACACATTTAGGAAGAAAGAAATCCTAAAATTCACATATTGATTTAAAGTGAACTTGGTTCATTGACTTTTAATGTGCTCTCATTTGTAACAGCTTATTCAATGTGAATTTAGTTCATTTTATTTTCAATTCATTATTATTGTATTAATTGATCAACTGTGATTTTGTGTTCAAATGTCGATTATTTTGTTTGATGAAATTGTTGAATAATCGGTTTATAATTGAATTGACTGGAAATGTAAATTAGCTTTTTTTTCTGAGGTCTCCACCGATTAATCGTTCTTACAAGATTTCTCTCTTATCCATCGTGGAGAGGATAATCGTTAAATTATTGTGTAGCAGTCATCCGTCATTCAGTTTATCAAGTTAGTATAGATCCTGTTCCATATTGAAAGAATCTCCCATTTGTTCATAATTTAGGAAGACCGAACCTAACTAAAACTCAATTCATAAGGTGACACTTCTATTAACTTTCACAGTGCAACAAAGAATATAAACTTTTACCACAACTGTCAGTATTAGATACACGCACAAACAATATGAGGATAGGACAAGTAAACACTTGTGAACAAAATTTGAACCATTATTAGTTAAAACAAAATGATCGTTGTTAGAAAATGTAGTTAGAGAGAAATTATATATTAAGCACACTCACACACACAGATTTACTTACCATGCAAACACAGTTCTTGACAACTTAGGAACTTTAATGCATAATAATAGTAACGATAATCGTACAAAAAAGTGAAAACTACATAGATGATTAGTTAACATAGGGAAAAGGGAATGTAAATTAATAACGAGACTGAAAAGCAGTATTCCGATGACATTGTCTATTTTATTCTCAAAATAGTTCAAAAACGTCTGATTATGAAAAACGGATATTGTTTAATGTCCCAATCAAGTTTAACGACAACCATTTCTTAGATGACAAACGAGGGATAAAGAAATTGAGAAATTCGAAACATCTAAAAACCAACAAACATGATACACTTCGCAAGTCATTATCTGCATTCTTTTAGGTTAAACAAAACACCAGGGAATTCCAATCAACAAATAAAGTATCACTTTTGATTACCAAGAACAAGACTTGATTGTTCACTTGTCATAGTGAGGAAGGTAACATTATGCAGCCGTAAAGTAAGATGAACAGCTAAAAATCTTAGATCACTGAGAATGAACATACATACAATTTCTGAGACACACAGCCACAGATGCTTTGACTGTAATTATCTACTAAGTTTAATGTTCAAACACTTAACTCATAGACATCTAAAGGACTTTTAATTCAGTAATTTATGTATATAAAGCCCTGGTACGGCCGAGGGTGATGAGAGTCAGCTTTCCCTCTCGAAATATTCTCATATGGCCGCGAGCATACAGCCACTGACAGGGAAGTTCAAAGCCTCATTCACCCAACTTAACTTTGCCACAAAGGTAGCATCATTAGTTTTCATGCAAGCAAAGTATGACTAAAATCCAAGAACATGAACCTGTATTTGATGATAAATGAGTCACACTTCTTTCATTTCATGCGAAGAAACTGTATTACCAACTCCATGATCCCATCATCACCCAGAAACATTTTGAAAAAGTCAATGACCAGATATTCGTAACCTATTTATATTTTTTTAAAATTTAGTGGATATAGAGCTAACAACTGTAACGAGATACAAAACTAATATCACCAGAAGCCCGTACATAGTGATACCTGGTAGTATTAAAACATGAAAGGACCTATTATTAATTGAAGCATCCGAATCCGTTAAAATCCACCAACAGTAATAGATTCTTCGGACTGCTGAAATGATTTAGTTAAGTTATCTTTAGTCTTTTTAAACATTAAGTTACCGAAGTAAAAACAATAGTATAAAAAAGAAAGAGATTAAAATACGAAGTAGTGTAAACATGAATTTGACCCAAGAACTTAAATATCATTGATCGAAAAAGCAATACCCGACGAAAGCTGCTACTTTGACACGGTGGTCGGGCTTGCCTATCGTGATGACCCAACCGAGCTATATTGGCTGGAACATATGTTCCTGTAGGTTCTACCATGCCAGGCAGGTCGATTGGAGAACGGTAAGACTAAAAGCAGCAACTCAAGGTCTGAGGGCGAAGTCGTACTGCTAACTGTAGAGGGGTGTGACAGCAGTAAGGTGTTTCCCTCGGACAACCAGCATCTGCAGCGATGCCGCCTTCTCACAAGGAGGGGTGGGGTTAGAAAAGGTCGACCTTAAAAATGTCACACCCCACCTTATCTCACGGATTTCCGTCTCCGGCGGTAAGGCCTTTTGAAGGACGGAGCTAACACATTAAAAACCTTCCACAAAAAGGTCGTGCACGACCGGCCTCAAGCAGTTGTCCCCTGGGCTCTGCGGTCACGCTCCCAGGTCTTTAAAACCAACACTAATTCAATTTCCTTTTCAGGTCCCTCAAGAAATACCCTTCCACGGTGTGGGCAGCCGGGAAGTGATATCAGCCCTCATACCCGTAACAGCACATGAGACTAAGTTGGTCACATTCAAATCCTTCCTACATCTCCTAATACATCTCTTATCTTCATAACTGACTGAAAATGCAATAAAACTAGTAGTTATGTGCAGCTTCTAAAAATTTCTTTTATTTAAGTGCTTTCTCCTACGAACTACCTTTTAAAGGCAATGAATACAAGATACATCTATTTGAAGTACGAATATCCAGGAGATTAAAATGGAAATAGCCCTAAAAATCACAGGTTATTTCGTAACTTTTGACACGATATATATATTTTTTGTCTCTTGCACAATGAATTAAACTTACTGGTCAATGTTATGCAAAATGAGATCTGATACAGCTTTATGGATCAGTTCAAATTACCACATTTTACAATATCGCACTTACTATGAGTGGAAATTAACAAGGTGAAAATATGAAAAGACAGTAAGGATGATGTTGAATGGTAACAAAATAGGATGAATACAAAATAATGAATAAAGGTTAATAAGAACGTTATATATATAATGAATACCTGCTAAATGAGCACTGCCATTTTTTAACCCATCCACAGCTTTTTGTATTGTAGCATTCAAATTCATAGGATTCATAACTTCTTGACTATACGCTTCACAATACCAACTATTTTCACCGCCAACTTCATTAGAACATATGGGCAAATGATAAAGATGAACACCTTTATTCTGTGTATGGAAAACAGAAAGAAAAAGTCAAAATGAGTCTAATTTAGTCAACATTTATGCTGAAGTACAATATATACTTAGTGACAAAACACTTGAAGAATGAAAATTAGGTAAAGATAAAGAGTAGAAAATAGAACGAAGAACTCACTTGTTTTACTCCTGTCTCCCAAAGACCTTCAACTTGTGAACGAATAGGTTTACCATTAACCGTTGTATGTTCACTAAATGTTGTTGGCAGAATAACTCCATGATCAATTGGGTGACGACCTGTTAACGAAAATCGGAGCATCATTTCATTTGTAAGCGTTAAGAAACTATCTAAATTATCTGTATATGCGATAGAATAATAACAATACTTGTGATCATTAAGTTCGTGTTATTATTAGGAAACAATTGTCCTAACATTAATTAGATGACTTAAAAATTTATAGCTTCCTACTAGATAACGAAGTCGCTCGAGATGAAGCCAGTCACTTGAATATGATAATTGTTTCGCAAAGAGCTATTGGTGTAAGTAACTGTTTCATTAAAAAAATATGTCGGAAAAGGGCAGTTGAAGAAATTCAATTTGCAAGCCGGTTATAGGTTGGGTTAAAGCATGTTCCAGATGGTTCGAGTTGGAGAACGCCGGCTGGTTGTTTCTTAACTAATCAGTGGTAGCAGATACTTGAAAAAGGCTCTGGAATCTTCTTATGTAAAAATTAAAAAATATATTAACAGCTTTTCCTTTTGTGATGCCTGCTTCCATCCAACCTTGTTATTTGGAATATGATTGCGTTCCTGTTCAATCATGTTCTGGTTTGGGGACTTGTCGAGTGGAATAGTGTTCAGAACTACTAAGAAGAGAATTCATAACACAGTATATAGACTTAAATATATCTCGAATTATTTCCTCACGACTGTGAAACTAATGATTTCCCCCTCAACCATTTATTTATTTTTTAATTTCTTATAAATCATAACAATCTTAACAATTATGAGCGATTTTTGGAATATTTCGAATAGCCATCAAGTAAGATGACAGAAATACACATTACGTCAAATGCTACCCAGTAGAACAATGATAGAGCTGTGTGGGGTAGTTGTTCTTAGACTGTATGAATTACGCGATGATGCTATGTAATAACCATAGTATGCCAGTGTATGTTTACAGAAAAATGAGTGAAATCGTCTTTAAAAAAAACAAACTTTATGGTTTAGATATGTTTACCGTAATATGTCAAGACAGCTTTCGTATAAAACCACCATTTTCTGACACTAGAATTAGTTGGATAAACAGGAGAGGTGGTTGGTTTATTATATGGTCGTGAAGTGAAAGAAAATTGTAACTAATTAGCATCTATTGCGACTATTTGGGTGGATTTATGAAGACCATGGGACCTGTTTTCAAAGGCTATCGAGTATGACTTAAAATCGAAGTAAGTAACCATTCCAATGAGACTTTATTTCGTTTTTTGCTTAAAGTCAGATGTACTACTAATCAAAATGAAATGTTTGCCTTAACTTATACTGTTTTGAAATGGTTTTATAACATAATCGGGAATAACATGATTTCATATCTTTCATTTCCTTACAACATAATCATCTTGTTCACTGGAGTAACTCTTAATTTATATGAGATATCAGTGGTTAGGATCATCATATTAATTTATCAATTACTTGGTAGTTTATTCGCAAATCCTTGAGCTATATTCAACTTACTGTATGTAATTGATCGTTTTAGACACGAAATGCTGGACCAGTAAGTCATGGATCCATATTTAAGCTCATTTTGTATGCTTCGATCAGTGAGTCAGATAATAGAACTGGCATTCAAATGCTTTACGTGACTGACAGCTTAGTATATGCAACTAGCTTCGTAGATTTTCTGAGATGTTTGAATTTAACCATGAAAAAAAGTTAAACTAAATGAGATAATACATAAACACTGTATACCTGTAAATAGTGAGTAAATATTCGGATAACACTCTGCGGGAAATACAGGAGTGAAACGTTGCAAATATGCACCATTTTTTTGTAGTCGTTTGAATCCGAATTCATTAGTATTACTTTCTAAATGACCAGCTATTACATCCCATCTTAGTCCATCAATTAGAAGAACCAGTAAACGAGATGCAGAACCTGACGAGTCATTATCTACGATTGTCGTTGTCACTGTTGAAATATTCGTATTGAATAAACAAACTAAGATGTACAGAAATGTGTATATGTTCATATTGGGAAACTGAAAAAGCAAGTAGAGACAATTTTAAAATAACACAGGGATTTAGCAATGAAATGTTGATTTAAGAAAAAGAACTAGTCAGTGAATGAACAGGTATATATTTTCATGGCCATAATATTATAAATACAATTTAATTAATTCATCACTAACAGCTGAAGGTGTTAGGACACCCAGATCTGTTATAAGATAATTAATGTAACATGGACTTGTATAGTCTACTCGAGGCATTTTTTGCTCAATTACGGGAACTCTTTGTGCTTCAACATCAGCCCATGCTGTTTTCATTTCCGGAAAATCGCAATTATTTTCATCATGAGTTAAACAGTTGTTCCCATCTGTTAAAATTAATAGAGTTGATGGTGATAATGATCCACACTCATGATCGTAAGACCATTTGAACTCATCAGGAATATGACGCTGATCAAGAGGATAACATCGCATAAATTTAAAAGATTCTGCAAGCACATAAACTGGTCTACCGAATGAAGATGCTGTCATTGCAATTAGTGAGGAACCAAGCATATTTAATATTCCACCGCTTTCCACTACAGCTTCAGCTCCTAAAACAACAAGGTCGACTTGCGGCATCAGGTAAGCAAGAGAATTGTCTGGAACAAGAGTACAGGAAATTTTTAATTTAGCTAACGCTTTCGTCATTTTTGCACCCAGCCCGCTAGGTGCACATGTTGTCACATAACAATGAAGACGCTTTTGAGTAGATGCAGCATATGCCAGTGCAGCAAGAACAACACGGGAATAAGAGTGTAAGAATATCACTGAACCATTAGGGATGTAGTTCAGGAAGTTTTCTGCTATTTTTCGCCTACATGAACCGACCTGTAGTGAAAAACAAAATTCCGTAATTATTAGTAGTGAACTATGCATTCAAATATTGAGATTTTAAAAAATGTTACCGATCAAGAATATTTCGTAGGCACACATTAAATTGCAACTCATGGATAAAGTCAGAGGTAACAATAACAGGACTGTGAGAACTAAAATTTCTTTAGTAACATACTAACTGCCATTCAAGACGTGGAATACTTAAGCTTTTTGATTGCTCGACATATTCATACAAAAGAAGGGAGTTAACTGACAAGGCTAGTGATGATAATAAAACGATATACAAATATAGGAAGCGAACGGGATAAATTGTTAATGTGTTAGTATCTCTCAAAAGTAGAAATTTTGCGAACGATGAGAATGACAGTTCAAAATAAAAACTAGCGTCTATTCATGATGCTAGTATGATTCCGTCGCAAGGTGTAGGCAACGCTTCTCGCCTTTTTACTATTTGTACAACCGAATTGGTGTCAATAATAGTTCGCCTTAGAAACTTATGCAAAGCGTAATGTGATTTGTGAGTCGTCTTTTACAAAATACAGGAATTTATATGCACGCGAACTTGGATGCGAAGAAATGACACCCGACGTTTACAATACCATCTAAAAGAAATATGTTGCTAGAGTAATAAAATATTTCCATCATTACGATTTTTCCTTTAACAAAAATAATGTTAACAGTTGGAAGACTAATGATTTCAGCTAACCACAGTCCCAACTGTGAGTTTGAAGAAACTACGTTGAATAGGGCATCTATTCGATATCGAAGTAGTCAACAAATGTAGCGAGTCGTGATAAATCGGTGGTAGGTGCTGCAAACAATGATAATTCTTGGATAAAAATAAACGTGAAGTAAGCAAAACAGACAAAACTTAAAAGTAATACATACCCAGGAAATATAAAACAGACGGTTATTAAGTCATTAGGTAGAATCTCAGGTAGTTGGGGTCTATGAATACATAAATTAACATTCTTTTTAGCTTACACGAGCCTGAAGTAAGCATAGTAACTTTGTCGAACCGAAAGGAAAGCATGCTTGAAAGTTAGGAAAAACGTGTCACCAACTCTAGGACAATTTTATGTATGGCATAAAACTTAAAATACACAGGATATCAACGCTAAAACAGAAATTACCACCCATTAAGGTACAATGTACTAGCCTTACAAAATAGCGCATAAACGAGGTTTTAAACGATAAGGCTGGATACTTATGCATCTGCCTCTGTTCCTGTGATTATGAATTACTCTTAGTTATCGCACAGTAAATATTTTAGGGATAGGCATTTGAACATGAACTAAGACATTGGTTTGCATTACGAATCACAAGAAATCCCAAGGAGGCAGAAGTACCATAAACCCGAAGTACAACGTTTAGCGAAAATTTTTTTAAAACTCAGGTTCTCCTTTTTATCGGTGCCGATTCAAATTCAGAACACTTATAACTGATAGGGTAACTTCAATGTTGTGTAAGTGTTTAAATTTAGGATGGCGAAAGCCTCCGACCATTTTTCACGTCAACCTCTTGAAAGACTGGTCTTAAAAGAAAGGTCTTTATAGTTTTACCAGTAACAAGTTTAAGGGATATTATTTAGTCGGCATGCGTGCATTAATACACCAACTAAGGACCAAGTCTCAAGCTAATCGTTACACAATATTATAGTCAAAAAGTGTACTTATGTAATGAGAACCATTAACTCAATACCGAGACAAAACATCGAAAATATTAATTCCCTGATTAGAATGGTTGAGATTATACTCGCCTTTCTGATAAATATCTGGGCCCTCTCAGAAAGTACTTTTTTGCATTCATCAAAATCGACTGTATCCAGTGTTGCTAGCGTAATAAAACGCTGGAATAATTCACAAGCTGATATAACGGAGAGATTGCTAACTCCCTCTTTCCACATACGCTCTATAGCTGTATTCATTACATCATGAAGACCTTGAACAGTTGTGACATCAGAGCATTCATGAAGTTGCGCAAGGACTTCAATAGCAACAACAGCTTCTGACTTATCTGGATTCCTTTCACACAACACCTTGAAACGCCTAACTAGATCTAATATTTGACTAGTCATCGTGCATGAAGGACGTTACTGTCGACCTTCAGTTCACTTCAATTCTCAAGTTGCCTCTTCAATAGGTTCTTTTATTTTTGATAGACTGTTGTTCACTGTATATGCCCGATAAATATTGAACACTATTATCCGCTAAGAGAGGTAACGAGAGATTCTAGTGAATGTTTTTGGTGTATCACGTCAAGCAAATCGTAATTTGCAAGTAAATATTGTTAAATAACTTCACAGAGTAACTAATCTTTTATAGTTTGTTCTTTAATCATCTTAGTTCCTTTCAACTTGACAGTGGTTATGTGTAGCTGCAGTTTGGGCCATGTGAGTTTTGAATCTCGATTCAAGGTAAATTTGTTTGGGATAAGGTGAATTTTTCACTGAATAAGGAGATTAAAGCCAGTCGTTACTTGATCAAAGAAGGAACTCGAGTGTTTTGTCCCTCTTCCAGTTAGAGTCAGATTCAATCGAGACTCCCGGATAAGTAAAGTTTGTTCTTTGTAGGTATTGACAAAATATGGCTGAAAAACAGACTTCTCAGTCTTGTGAAGGAGCTTTCATGTAGTCATTAATTGCGTGAATCCCAGTGGACTGCCTCATCAACTTGGAAGATAGAAGCAATAGTAGCCTAAATATCTACTAGTATTTGGAAGCTCAACCGAACGGAAGGACAGTTAATGTTGGTGGGCCAAATCATTGTTACTTCAACATAATAGAGGTTTGAACCTTATTACTAAATTATAGTCTTCTGATGTTTCACATGATGAGACCCAAAACTTTATATCAGCATCCGTAGTGTTTTAGACGAACTTGTCGGTTTGACTGTTGTTACATGCGAAATCGTTGTTTCTTTTTTTTGACTCTATAACATTTGGCAAGTTGCGACCAATTGCGTTAATTATTCATCCAAATCTACATCAGTACTTGTCAAAAGGTATTTCGACTCTGTATGTTTTCAGAAAACATTAGTTGAATATTGCAATCAGTTCTGCAAGGACCATGTGAAATATTCATCGCTTCGTATTTACAATTTGTATTTTATGCACACAACTGTACAAAGATTGAAAAGCATATAACTTTAATTTTGCTTCATGTAGTGTTCCTTTCAAATGGTTAGAATAGTTCTGCTTGAAGTAAAAAAGCTTTTGCCTGACGGACCTTCGTATCTAGTAGCCATGGATCACTGATACCTCAAGGTAGGTTGCTAGATTCATAAACCGTGAAACAGGAAAAAAGAAAAATGTTAAAAAAAATCATAGTAAGATTCTGCCATTAGTCCTTAAGAACATGTCAAGTTTTCTCTTAAATTTCTCCTAAGAAGTCGTTTGGACTAGCTCAGCAGTCCTTACGAGACTAGAACAGTTCGTATCAGATGTTTCCATCACTATTTTACCTGTCATTATTATTTATATTGTTAAAGATGGTACAAGCATTCTGAGTTTGATAACACTTTAACCAGTAACCCGTTCTATAATTTAGTCGTGCCCACCTAGTGGAGGTTCGAAAATATATTTGGTGGGCTATCAATATGTTGGAAATCGACTAACCTAAAGTGGCTAGCGACTGCAGGGGAAGTTGTGCATGGTGTTTCCACTGTTGATCTGGTGCGGATGCATGACCAAACACCTTCAACTAGGTGAATCCATTGAAACTAATTTGGTCAGCATCAACTGTCGAAGACTCACAGAGTTAGTTATTATGGTAACTTATTCACCCTCACATATGTGTGAATTTCAGGTCAGAATACAAGACCTGTCATATTACGTCTGATTTCTCTCCTTTTTCCTCATAACGCTCTCACGGAACAACTGTAGAGCTTCTGACGCATGAAACACTTGATGTACGCATTTTTTAAAAGAGACAGCTCATACCAAGCGATCTATGAATCTACTTTAAAACAACTATAATTTCAAAACGCTGTATTGCATAAACATTTAGATCGACCGGATTTCTCACAATAAAACCAAGTTTGAACGTGGTATGCGACGTGGACGAGATGCCGTTTTTTTAAATATTTAAAAAACTGCGCTCAGCATAATAATATAACACAATCCTAACCAGAAGAAATGGACTTTCTTTTAATTTTATTGATTTCGCTTCGCTAGCAACCCTACTCGGGAGGCATATTGTAAGCAAACCAATGTCGTAACTTACAGACCATGTCTGCAAAGTTTTTGTGTACCCGCCCAGGCGAAAATATATATTAACAACCATAAGTTATATTCTTGCATCTTTTTTCGTCGAAATAACTATTAGTCGATCTGCTTGTAACAGTATGTTTCCGGTAGGAAGTGACGCCAATCTAAGGTTACAGACATGAGTCAAAGTGGTATTTGGCATAATAAATTTGCGTCAGTTGTTTTCGTTATTTACATTTCACTTGGCCATTGTGAGAAATAATTTTAAAAAATGTTTCGTCCTACAAGCATAAGTTGGTTGAAGTTATCTCCCCATTATTTAGTATAAATAATTATATAAGTTATAAGGTACTGGTCGATTATACGTGGCTTAAAGCATTTATTGGTTCACAGTATGCATCCCAAGCAGAGTTGTTAAACAAATGTAATCTGTAAAAGTGGATATCAGTTCATTCGTTCAGATATACTGAGTAATTTTCAAAATATTTTCCAAAGTGGCATCGCGTCCACGTTAAACACCAGATCCAATCTCCGCAATATTGTGTTAGGATTTTGGTCGTGTTAAGTATTTATACACAACAAATTTTTAAGTTTATAGTTGTTATAAAGTAGACTTGTAGAACACTTGGTGTGAACTATGACCCTGAAAAAACACGAACGTCTAGCTTGTCTCAGATATCAGAAGTTCCATAGCTTGCCCTCAGAACAAGAGTCTGAAAGGAAGGGAAACTGAGGAGTAGCAAGACACTTGGATATGAGCGACCGACAATACTTAACTTTTTGTAGTGGAAAAGACAGAGGTGTGATAAATCATTAGATTAAATTCATACTAGCTTTTGTAGCTACAGTGAACTGTGATCAGAGTCTCCAGGTGGGAGAATCTAACGATAAAGAACAATGAATTGTGATATTCAACGAGGTGGGGTAAGTTCACATGAAGGAAGGGAAATCACGGTTGGAATGAGGAAGGCTGTTTCATTAGAACAGGAAGTATATATATATATATATATACATATATATATATATATAGTAAAGTTCTAAGAAAACTAGTAACGACATCTTTTGTTGTCTGTTTTAAAAATTTTTTCCAGTCATTTCCTGCCAAACTGTATTAATGCAAATGTCCGATTTAGCATGTTATAGGTTATTTCAGTAGAGTAGCTAGTTCAGCATAAACATGGAAACATGTGTTTGAATGGTGGGCGCAGGAGAAGAACCTTATTATCACAGATTGATTGACCCGTACTCAAACATAAAGAGCCTGATACAAACAAAACATTCTGCCCCCAAACTTTGGTGTAAAATAATCCGTTCTTTTCTGGATGCACCATTTTCATGGTTGATAGAGTTCTTTATGGACAGTTTCTGAGTGTTTCTGGTTTTTCACACTAGTAGACTTCAGAATCATTAAGCTTTTTTCAGTCATGGTTCTAGGCATTCCCAAGGCCACGTATGTGTAACACCACAAGTATATTTCGGATTTCAGCTGGTTATGTTAGCAAACACAGCCGTGTATAGGTCAGAAAAGGGAGTGGAATTAATCTTCAAGACAGTTCATTTAACGATGTATCTGTTGATGAATAATATCCCAGTAAATATTAATGCTAAGATCACTGGGACAGTCATATCAATATCATAGCGAATATGACAATTAAATATTCCTAATATGCTTTTGTACAATCAAAGATACTGAAATATGCAAATAGTTTCACGAAGAAATTGATATAGACCATACTTATAGTGTGAACAAGTGGACGTAAGTAAAAACAATTCAATTACATAAGTGATGTAGCAACAAAATATTTCAACATTCCATTGAAGATGCTTGTAGGGATGAACGTTCTATCAGGTTCGTTTAGTTCATATCTGAAAGAAAGTCAGGTTTTATATGTGTATCAAAGAAACAGTCATAACCACAAAATATATTTTCGAACCTCCACTAGGTGGGCACGATTAAATTATAGAACGGGTTACTGGTTAAAGTGTTATCAAACTCCAAATATCTGTGTCATCTTCATATCCATTTGGCTCAATAGAGTTCTGTCATTTTGGATTATGTGTATGTTGAGGCCTATTGCCTCAAAAGCTGCTTTTACGCAAACTGTCTCCACCTGCTGCGTATAGGATAGAAAAGCTATGTCATCTGTGAAGTCAAAACCATCTAGCTGCATATCTGTTGGTGATGTATCTCTATGAATTCAAAAAAACTCCAGGAGGGCCAAAGACATAACACTCAATCATTTGGGAGAACACAAGGAATTTCGCATTGCAGCTTTCCATAAGCATAAATGTTAAGGCCCTTTGCATGAGGACAAGAAAATTCTGATGACGAATTCGTTTTCCCTTAAAACGATAAGTACCAAGTGTTTCGTACCATATTCGACTGGTTGGAATAAGATTTCTTCCCACTCGTCTTCTGTCTTGAGATATGGGATGTTTAAAAGTCCAAGTGCTCAAGTTGTACGCGGTATAGCAAAAATCCAAGTTCTAGATATACAGTATCAACCCGTGATACCCTGATCACCGGTATATAACTGTTTATCTAAAGGGATTTTAGGCTTGGTATTCATTTCATGCCGACGACATGTTTGTTTAGTATCCTAAGACTCATTCCATTCGGTTGTTAGGTCACCTTCCTACTGACATGCATCGATCGATGCTTATCTTAATAGTGCTCTAGGAACCCTCTTGTACCAAATCGTCCTGATTTTGAAGTATGGACCTAATTCATACTTCGCAAATAAGGAATGTAACTGATGAGGCCGAAATGTTTGTCAGATATGCTTATTCACAGCCTAGTCTAGAATGCAATACTGGCTAGACGAAAACAGAGACAAAAATACAAGAAGTGATATCACTTATCGGAATAACTGGCTACTGATTTTAGTTTGTTGGAAGATATGTACTACTTGCTCCAGATTCGCGTAATAATCATTAGTGTTAAGAAACTGGAATATGGAGTAATCGCTCATAAATAGTTCTAGTGAAGCAGATGGCTTTATTCTCTTCTTTTCAAAAAATAAAGATTTGGTAATATCACATATATCAAAACCTCATTGCGTTTAAATATTTTTATTACCATACTTCAAGTCTCTCGTCACCGGAATTCTGAACTTTGCAGTTTGTAATTTTTTAATCAAGACATAAATCTCAAATGTTGTGGAAAGGTAGCACAACTAGTTATTACTCCTAAACATCAGGCCATAACAGCTTGGAATATTAAACAGAACAAAGTTGACTGAAGATATACGAAGTGTAAATCATCAACATTGATTATCTCTGTCGGATGACTAGGGACCTACTAGATTTAGACGGGATGGTATGACCAACAGCTAACGTCAAAGTCATACATAGGGGTCAGCACCTAATATGGATTACTCCTTCGTCGTATCAAAGTACTATGGATGCTTTGAAGACGGTACAACACAAAGGATGTTATCACAGAAATATGTTATTTAAAGTAGGCACAAGCGAACGTTTGACCGTCACTGCACTGGCTAGTCTACGGCGTACGATTAACTGATGTGCGTTGGTTGTACTAGACGTTGACAGGGATCGATGACGTGTTCGATATTCAGTAATCCAACTTCCGGATGAGTTGGTGAGGGTTCATTGACATTTCACTGGCTCTAAATAAATTTCGGCTGTTTTTACTTTATAACCGTCGCTTGCCACAATAAAAGCCCAAATATCCAGTTTTAGGGCTCCGAGAGTGGCCCCCTAAGAAAACCACCTGCTTCGGTTTGGGCACCCGGGCAGTATCACAGCCCTCACACATATCGCATGAGATTTGTGTGGCGCCTATGTATTTGGTGCCTCCTTGTACCAATATCTGTGTTGAAATAAATAAAATCGTCAGACAGGTGACCTCATCCCAGTATCTAATAGAGATTATGATCATTTCAAAACAACTCTTGTTGACTGTTGTGATCAATATGTGAACACAATACCTACAGCTGGTTTATTACTAACAAGAGTACATGAATCTCAGTTATTTGATCTTCGGACAAATCAGGATTCAGTGTTGTGTTGAACAGACAAGGGTTCAGGGATTTTCCTTATAGATCGTCATAACCATGTCACCAAACTATCCTTGATATTATCTGACCCTGTCGAATTCTTCAAAGAAGCCATTCAAAAAGATGCAACTGAGAAGACGGGACAGATGTCAATTGAAATCCTGAGGAAGATGATTTTATTATCAAATGTGACCGCTATGAACATCTTAGACCATCGGGTTCCGTTATAGAGACGCTATACGAACTTCCAAAAGTTCACAAGAATGTCTCCCTACGTTCTATACTTGATACGAATAACCCTTCGTACCATTTGATTGCTAGTTGGTTAGCTGATATTTTACAACCCGTCAGAAATCACATCAATAGATACACCTCTAGTGATTCGTTTTACTTTGTCGACTCAATTAGAAATATCAATGTCAATGGTACAAAAATGATCTCATTGGATGTCACATCTCTCTTCATAAATGTTTCACCCACAGAAACTGTTTTTTTTATGTAAATATATTGAAAGTATTAACCTTGATATTTGAACCCCAAAACATTATCTAAAAGAGCCACTTCTAGGATGTACTTAACATGCCATTCAGACATATAATGACTTAGGAGTTATCGTTAGTCAAGACTTAAAGACTACTGCACACTGCCGTGCAATAGCCGCCAAAAGTTTTAGAACGTTATGGTCAATACGTAGGGCTTTTAGTCATGTCGACACTAAGACGTTTTTGACTTTGTATACAGTGTTCGTTCGTCCTAAACTTGAGTACTGCATACAAGCGGCTAGCCCCTGCTTTAAAAAAGACAGTGAGCTTCTGGAAAAGGTTCAGAGAACGGCGACTAAGCTGGTTCCCGCAATAGCGAAGCTTCCGTATGAATCTCGACTGGCCAAGCTGAACCTTTTCCCGTTGTCATATCGCAGAACTAGAGGCGACTTGATTACAGTCTACAAATTGCTTAGTGATAAATTTGCACCTAACATGCCCTCATTTTTCTTGTCTTCCAAAACAGAGAATTTACGAGGACACTCCAAAAAAGTTCATAAGCCAAGAACAAATTACTTGTCAGCTGACTATCGACTTTCCCATCGAATCATCAACGAGTGGAATTCACTACCTCAACACGTCGTTGAGGCTCCATCCGTCGACTCTTTCAAAAGAAAGTTGGATCAACTGAGAGACCACCATTGCCAGGACTAACATAGGCCATCGAGCCTCCTGTCCTTCCCAAACTGAAACTGAAACTGATTTCTACAGACAAACAGATGCAGCTGTAATGGGTTCACCATTGTGTTACCTCTTGATTGTTGCGTGACCGATTTGGAAAATACGGTATTTCGACCAATAATTGCGAGATTTCATTTACATAAAGGATATATGGATGATACTTTCATTATTTTTGAACAAATGGACCTCAGTCAAATTCCGAATCATTTCAATAATTGTCACCACTCACTTCAGTTCACTTTGGAGGCAGAGATGAACGAGGAATTTCACTTTCTTGATTTCCGGCTGAAAAGAATGTCGGATGATTCTTTAAAGAGATCTGCACTATAGAAAACCGACTTCAAATGGACAGCATGTTAACTTCATAGCTGGTTCCCAATGAGTAGAAAGAGAAAATTAATTCACACTTTATCCTCAATGAATAAAAGAATACGTCCTAATGACAAAATAGATGACGAACTACTTCAACTGCGACAGATACTCATCGAAATGGTGACCCACCTAGATTCTTCGGTGGGAGCTTAACACCAAGACATCCAGAAAAAGCACCAACAGTTCAGAAGAGAACTAATTATGCATATCGAGTTTAAATGATATGGCTATTGAAATCTTGAATAAACGGATTCCAAAATCCCTGAATAAAACCTTCTACTCAACTAAGCTCCTCATTGTCTTCTCGAAGCGGACCACTATTCACGAATGTGTTGAGGATAAACTTTTACTCGAAGCGATATCAATGCGCATCTATAAATTTGCTTGCTCCTGTGGGGCAAGTTACATTGATCGCACAAAGCGACCATCCTCTAGACGCCCCCAAATGCCTTGGTAAGGCCGAGGATGGAAAGAGTCAGCATTCCCTCATGAAATACTTTCGCATGGCCATGTGTATACAGCCATTGACATTAAAGTCCTAGTCACTGCCTTCCTGCAGCGGGGTGTTGTTTATGAAATTGAAAGGACGAAGACCGAATATCCGACGCCTTAACCAAGTTGGTAGATATGTAGGATCCACCTAGGGAAGCTGGAAAACCCTGACTCCAAATCAATGGTGTACAAGAGACCCACGATCTTGACGGGAGAAATGGCGTGTGAACCTATTGTTGGTCACCGCTTACCATGGGACTGCATCTCCTAACGTTGCCCCACTGCCTTGTGGATCAGACCTTTAGGTCAAAGACTCCGGGTGTGGCCCCTAAGAAAATCACCTGTTTCGATCTGGGAACCCGAGCAGTGTCGCAGCCCATACACAGACCAAGTGACTTGTGTGTATTCGGTGCCCCTTTGTACCAATATTTATACGTTCAAACAAATAAATAATAAATACAACCTCAGAACACAACCCAGCATGGCTTTTAAAGGGAGAATGCAAAATAGTTACAAGCTTAATACAGAAGCATCTAATTGACTCTGAAAACGTCGCTCCTAAGGAATCTTCTTTTAAAATAATCTACACAGTCAGAAACTTATGCACTGCCGATCCACCAATTTAAACTAGAACTCTGCATGCAAAAGCCATACGTCCAATCTCCCTTCTGCAGCAAATTTTCGTTGGTTTTCTTTTAAATTAATGTTTTGTAATTTTAGACCGTAATCAGTTATTATCATCCCTCAACAATTTTCAATGATTGTTATACAGTTATTATTATGACTTTTATGTTTATCTTTCAATTGTTATCTAACCCCCTGATTATTACGTAGCCTTATCTGATAATTAGAGTCTTAGATCACTTTATGATGCAATCTATCCTTCTATAGAGATTTCATATTCCTAAGAACCAAAGAATTATATTTTTGTTGAATAGTGTCAGCAAATTAATGAAACACCCACGAGTACTTTACTAAAACGAAAACTGACAGATTTATAGCACAAACCAGTGAGACTACCAAATACCGTAACCCGCAACTGAGTTTATCACCTCATGTATATTTACGGGAGTTATTACATTGATAGGACAGAAAGAGATACCTACCAGGATGTTTAATTATACTTTGGGGAATCTACACACGACTCTGCACCACTGTTCACAATATAAACGATGAAGTATTTTATCAATTATAAATTAACGACAGAAACTCATACTAATCCTTCAAATTGATACGCTGAAACAAAGACGAAATTGCAGTACTCAAAATTTTCTTATACATTATAAAGTATTCGTCTTTTCTAACAACAGCACTCATAGTTTACTACCATATGTTTTCAAGGTTACTGCTCATACTCGTGACACTCAGAAAAATATCTGAATGTTTTAAGATTCTACATGTAAAGTTTATCTATTACAAACCTACTTACCTAAAATCCCTCAAGCTGTTAATTGAACTCACTCAAATAAATCGAGTTCTTACCCAGAAATTCCGTACTAATAGTGATGTAAATTTGTTAAGAGACAAGACATTTGTTCATGGATAATGATTAGTCAGTATTTTTTTATAGTGTAATAAATAATAGCCGAGTCAAGATACCGTGACAGTTTATGCCTCATTTAAGATTCTGGGACATCCAACGAAAGGGTTAGTAAAAAAAACTAAGCGAAATCAACAGGAACCAGTTGATTTTCATGATGTGTGTAAATGTCCTCTATTGAAAAACTATTTTACAGAAGACAAATAGGATAACCACTGGTTATTTGAAATCAAAATCGAATTTTAAAACAATATGAACAAAAGTATATGGATATTGCCTTATTAGCCTATTCGAGCATCTAATGAATTCATGGTAGAAACAATATCTAACAATGAAAATATACAATGGAATATATCCTAGGCAAAATATTGTAAGTATTCTTATTATTCATGATAATTTGTTTCTGGTAGAGCTAATCCAACCATTTTAGCGGCTTCCTCAGTTGTTTTCTCTTTGGATTTATACAATTCCACGAGCTCCTGAGAAATGAAAAAAGGATACTAATAAGAATGCAGTACAAAGTCAGGTACTTTCTTTTCATAATATATTACTTATCATAAAAAGATAATTATGTTGTTTCCATTACTGAATTGAATAAGATGAGTTTTAAATTATTATTACTAATATAGAAATTATTAATTACCGTTCCAAAAAAAGATGACAAAAGATTCCTTGCACATAGAAAATGAAATCTACTTTCTACTTGACTATGAGTGACTAAAAAATCTAACCCAGATTGTATAATGTGACATAAGTATATAACAAACTAGATATTTTCTATACTACCTTAGTGAATTTTAAGTGATTTAATTAAACGATTATTCGCAAAAATTCCTAAGACTTTGAAAAAAAGGAAATGAAATATCCTACAGTTAAGAAGAAACCTCTCTTCATAAAACTAGGCTTAAAGGTGATGAAATAGCTGGAAGGATTGATTTTAGACTAAAGGCAATACTAAAAGGAACTTATCCAGCAACCAAGTTGGTGTCCCTATATCAAACTAAATGCTCATTGAGACAATTAAATGTGGACATATACCCGGCTTATGTTACTTCTAATTGTGTTTACCAGTTTACATGTATATGCCAAAGCACATACATCGGAAGAACAGAATGGAGGGTTTGTGTCCGTATCTCTGATCATATTCCTCGAAAATTGAGACTAATCAGGTAGGTTTTTTATAGTGCGATCGCTCATCATTTACTCGATAGTGGGTATGTTATTGAAATTGTGAAATCGTTCAAAATAACTGCTATGTTTTGCCGAAGCAGTTGCAATAAAGAGATTTGAACGGAATTTATAAATCCAAAAGGAAACAGTTATAAATCTTGTTTTATTCTAGTGACCTTATTTTGTGTGAGATTGTTACGTAAGGCTTTGTTTTTATTTTCTTCATAAACTAAAATCAAAATTCTAGTATTCTAATTCTCACTTCTGAGCTTTACTCAACTAGGTCATATTGAATAATCTATCTTCTGATTCAAGAAGAAAATATATTTTCTTGTTTCCATACTCTTCTAGAATATTTAAATATTCGATCCATAAGCCAACGTTTGAATAATTTTAACTCTAAAGATTATTCTACCTTCATAATTCAACTCAGTTTATTCTAAACATTTCTGATGTAAAATATGTACAAATTGTTTTAATGATTAATACTATAGCTTAAGGTTCTAAGCAACTGAGGAGAATCCATGAAATAAATCCACGTTACTCTATTAATATATTTGTTCTTTCTTTATTAGAAGGGATTTTTGTGGAGATTTTTAGTAATTTCAATAGTGGAAATCATGAGTCAATTGAAGTTAGACCACCATTGAAAACCTGGAAGCACTGGACGGCCGTCTCGTCCTAGTATGGGACTCCTCAGCAGTGCGCATCCATGATCCCACACCCCGCGAGATCCGAACCCAGGACCTACCAGTCTTGCGCGTGAGCGCTTAACCAGTATACCACTGAGCCGGCATCCAACGATGTTAATGTCTAACTTCAACTTCTTTCTTTATTGTTAGTGTCTAACATCAACTAGTCCACGGACTAGTCTAACACCAATCGGTTCATGATCTCAATCAAAAACTTAATAGTCTCTACAACCCCTATACTGATAGATTGTATTCGTTTGCTTAAAGATGAAAGTAAATTTATAGTAAAACGTATACAGATAGAGAAATAAATAAATAATGACTTACTTAAAAATAGCTACTTACTGAATGTTTTCGTAAATTCTGCAAATAATTTAAATATGTTTCAGCTAGATGAACACTTTCATTTTCTCTAGCACATTTTTGAGCATCGGTTAAATGATTATTTCTAAATTCAGAAATAACGTATTGCATTACTGGTGAATAGTCAAAAGGCTAAATGAAAATGAATAATTTGTCAATAAAATATTTCTAAAAAAATTACTAACCGCTTTTTGATTCTTTCGAACATGTCGAAGTTCACGGAGAATATTTCGAAATAGCTGGATCTTCGATGACATTGTCGACAATTCGATGATGAATTTATCTATAGTTAGTGGTAGGATAAGTATCTCATGACGAGAAAATGTAACGAATTATTTTAAGGTAAAAAAGGTTGCCCATTATAGAGATTTGACTAATTAGTGTAAAGCCATTTCATTACGAAACAACATTATTTTTTTAAGATCAATAAACATCAGATTTAATAAGAACCACTTTGTAATTTCACTACTATTTATAGATATTCATGCTGAAGTTCTAGTGAAAATTATTTCATATTTATTTGTTTCAGAATAAAAGGATCATACAGATCATCACATAGGAATCAAGGGACTTCAAATCTATGTCAAAAATGATATGGTCAGTTATAAAGGATATGCAATCTTACAAGAGTCTGTATCGGCTACAGTTATTACGATTCACATTTAAAAAAAACAATGTACACGTGAACGAGACGAAGTTTTATCTCAAGTCTTTTAATGATCAGTCAGTCAGTCAGCTACAACGTAGGACCAGGCATATATATGCATCGGTCCAAGTTGCCAAACCGCATTAGCACAACAAGATGAACACCGGATTCATAATAGTAGTTAAGTCAATGGTGGTAATATATAAAAGATTGCAATAAGGATATAATACAGGAAGAAAGATTTAGTACGTAGAAAGAGAGATATGAAGCGATCTTAATCTCTTAGTTTAAGAGAAGACAGAGAGTGTATACACCGATGCCATTGTGATCGATTCTGAGCCATGTCATTAAGAGTCTCCAACCATTGGTTACGACAGTCACGCGGACCCCAACCAAGTAGTCTGCATCTCCCAACACGGCTCAGACTAGAAGTTAGTGACTTCAAGCACTGATGCCACGTTTTGTTTTGGCCGCCCCTAACTTTCTTCCAACCATCCCCAACACCGGTTAGCATTGCACGTCGTGGTATTTGGTGTTCAGGCATACGTAACACGTGGCCCAACCGTCTCAGTCTATGAAGATTCACAACTGATTTACCATCATTCCCTAATACCCTGTGTCTAACCTCACTATTACTTACCCCGTGATCCCAGCAGATGAGAGTAATATTTCTAAGACATCTGTGATCAAATACTAGTAGCTTACGAGTATCTTCTGTCCTTAGTGGCCACGTTTCGTAGACGGACAGAATGAACTGCCGCACAGTATGCTCGTCCTTTTATTGATAGATGGATATCTCGCCTTCGCCATAGGTGACGTAAGTTCGCGAAAGCCAAATGACCCTCCTGAACCCGCGAGGAGATTTTGTCAGGCACCAACCCATTTTTATTTATTTATTTACTTATTTTGACACATAGGTATTGGTACAAGGAGGCACCAAATACATATGCGCCACACAAATCTCATGCGATATGTGTGAGGGCTGTGATACTGCCCGGGTGCCCAAACCGAAGCAGGTGGTTTTCTTAGGGGGCCACTCCCCGAGCCTTTGACCTGAGGGTCTGATCCACAAGGCAGTGGGGCATCGTAAGGAGATGCAGTCCCATGGGAGCCGGTGACCAACAATTGGTTCATACGCCATTTGTTCCCTCAGGATACTGGAGCCCATGTGAACCATTGGTTTGGAATCCGGTTAAAGCGCCGGACATTCGCTTTTCGTCCTCTCATTTTCGTAAACAACACCCCCTCCACGAGAAGGCAGTGAGTAGGACTTCCCTGACAGAGGCTATATACGCGTGGCCATGTGGGAGCATTTCGAGAGGGAGAGCAAACTCCCTACTCTCGTCCGTACCAGGGCATTCGGGGGCTTCCAATGTAAGTGTTGTCGACGCGTTCGACTACTTCCTAGTTTTTCACACCATGTAAAGATTCTTCTAGAGGTATTTGAAAAGGAAATTAGGTTAGAGTTGGTCTTAGTGACCTGAGAGCGTGACCGCAGTGCCCAAGGAACAACTGCTTGAAATTGGCTACACACGACCTTCTTGTGAGTACTGTTAGTGTTAGCTCCCTACTTATTTGAACCTTACAGCCGGAGACGAATAACAGTGGGATAAGGCGAGATGTGCACTTTCAGGGTTGACCTTTTCTAACCCCAACCCTCCTTATGGGAAGGCAGCATCGCTATTATGCCGATTGTCTGAAGAAAACACTTTACTGACATTACATATCTGTACAGTCAGCAGTCCGACTTCGCCTTCGGACCTTGGATTTGCTGCTTTTAGTCTTACCGCATTTCAACCGACCTGTCTGGTATGGTAGGACCTTGAGGAACAATTGTCCCTGTCTGTAAAGCTCGATTGGTTCATCACGACAGGCAAGCCCGACCACCACATCAAGGTAGTAGCGACGGTAAGTACTTACCGTGGCCTGTCTGAGTTAGGTTAGGAATTAAGTTCAAAAGCGGAGTACACCTTCCTACACCGTATTTCGACGGACAGTCACATGCGCGCTATTTAACTAAACGGAACAGTAGGAACTCAGAAAGTTAAAGCAACATGCCGTTGTTTCTGTCTATGTTTCCACTAACTACACTTCGGCTGAAACAAAAGATGAACTCTAAAGACAGCTTTCATCACTCTTTAAAAACATAAACACAAATGTAGTAATAGTAGGAAGTTATTTTGATGTTTAAGTAGGCAATATAAACTAAAGTGAAAGGCACTCATGTGAATCTTAAGTTGGTGAAGCTCAGAGGACAGAAAATGATAACCCACTGCAACAACTATCTTCAGATAACTGTTTATTCTCAACAAGGAAGGATATCACTTATCATGACGACTCCCAAATTCGACTCAACGATTAACGCGAGTGGACTAAGTTGCCATCAGTTATCTTTGAAGAAGCTCGATAAGAGATCCCCTCTAACCTAGAGCACGTGTTTAAACTCATAAAATGTTGTAATACAAACACTGTCTTAAATTTCGAATATATTCAGTTGTAAAACTGGCCGCCATAATATATAATGCACCAGCTCGTGCTAACCTTACGTACATAGTTTATGTGTTGTTAAGAGACCTCGTCTTAACTGTATGTTGAAGTTTCCAAAAGGTGAGTGCGCTTTACGAAGTGATGAAAGTCTTCGTTAACAGGGTCAATCTATTTATCATAATAGAAGGTCATATTAAGGACTGACGAGTCCCCCAGTTTCCCCCTAGGTACAGTCAATTTTAAATACTTGGGTACCATCAAGTAACTGATTACTTTATGGTTAGATTTATCCCACAAGAGGTTTAGAGATATGACTAAGACAGTTATTACTGCTACTGGCAAATCTGTTTTGGAATGTATTGAAAGTACTGCTTTAGACTTTGACAACAATGTTATGTATTAAATATTTTTGTCCAGAAAACAGGTCGCAGACTGCTCCTTTTTATTTAGAGTGCTTAATCCTGAAAAATATGTAATCCCACCTCTTTATTTAAACTTCTGACATCTAACGACAGTAACCCACCTATTATCTTGTTTTGACTTACGTAGCACTATCACTGAATCTGTTGTGAGATATAGATAACTATATACTTGGATATGAATGGTGTTGAGATGCAGAATATCCAGTTCACACAACTCATTCATCAAAGCACATTGCCAACGATGTCAATCTACGTGATACTTTGGGTTCATACGCCACCTTTCCTTTGGAGTCGTACATGACAGATAAAAAGGACAGTTCACTGCTGATACGTTGCAGCCAAACAAGATTTTGAGCGTTATACTGGAAATATATCACTTCTTATTCGGCTAAAGGACAGGAACATTGTTGTCGATACAGTGAATTTAGTTCACTACGAATCTAATAAACAGTTTATTACTTGAAAGGACACTAGGTCTAGGATATGGATACATCAAATCTCGTTCTTACGTTAACCCCGTAGATTTTACCGTTAAAAACTTCATTTCTAGTGATATAAGTATACCTGTGTTCAGTAGTTAATCTTGAGAGAACTTGGCTAACCATTAGTAATAAATTATATTAATTTAAATCTAACTGATACGTCGAGAAATTATAATTTTAATATTGTTTAAGATGATTAGAACCAAATAATTGACGCACTTAAATGCGTCTGACAATTGTCAATTTAAAATTAAAAAAGATGTATTATTGAGTCACAAGTAAGTGGAAAGTGTTTAAAGAATAGGTTTTTGTAGGCACAAATAAGGTTAAAACCTACTAGAAATACCTGCCAATACAGAAACAAGTGACCCACAAATCAAGCAGTACGCTTGTCCTTCAATGTTCAAATGGTTGTGGACGGAATAGAAGAAGCTTTCGCTTAACAGGCTTCCGTGTCTAGTAGCAGGGGATCACCAAATCCTCCAGGCAGGAACCTAGGTATGTTAACAATAAAAGAGGAAAAGAGATTGGTAAATCATAATGTGATGCTGTTCTTGGTCCTTAAGAATAGGTCAAGTTGCCTCTTGAAGGACTCCTGAGAAGTCGCTTGGACTAGCTCGGCTGGCAGCGAATTCCAGCTTTTGATAACTCTTAAGGAGTAGAAATTGTGTCTACATTCCGTCTTGCTATGTCGTGGCTCCAGTTTCTGGGTGTTACCCCTTAGGTTGTTATTCGAACTAAGCTTAAGTAGGTGTTTAAGAGGATGTCCAGAAGTGTTAAGAATACTATAAGCCATTAATAAATCACCTCTAAGACGCCTATATTCTAATGGGTAAAGCTCTAGTGAACGGAGGCGTTCTTCGTAAGGCTTAGATTTGAGTCCTCGAACTGATTTCGTGGCTCGCCGCTGGATACGCTCCAAAGTGACCTTGTCCTTTTGGAGTGAGGGGGGAGTACTATGTTTCCGTACTCTAAATGGGGACGGATGAAACTATTGAAGATTGTGTGGAAAGTTCTTCCGTCAAACTGGCCAAAAATGCGCCTCAACGTTACCAGTGCAAGGTTTGCTCGGAAGGCATTTTTGTCACAGTTGGCGTAAGACTTCAAATCATGGGGCACCAGGACTCCTAAATCTTTTTCGACTTGGGATACTACTAGAGAGGAGTTTCCTAAGTTGTAACTGTAGTTTGCAACATGTCGCAGATGGACTACTTTACACTTTGAAGTGTTAAAGGTAAGTCCGTTATCGTCTGCCCAACTTTGAAGTCGAGTCAGATCCTCCTGAAGTGCCTGTATATCGTCTTGGTTGCGTATCTCTCTCCAACGTTTCACGTCATCGGAAAAAATAATAAGTCTGACGTTACCTGTTAAGGAAGATCATTCATATAGATCAAGAAGGGAAGAGGCCCTAGTACCGGGCCCTGGGGGACCCCATCAGGACATTCCACAATCTGAGATAAAGTGAAATTAACCATGACCTTAAAGTGTCAATTTTTCAGGTATGAAGTAAGCCAATCGATTAGACGTGGTCTGATACACAATCGTTTGAGCTTATTGATAAGACATGTATGGTTAAGCTTACCAAAATCTTTTGAGAAATCTAGGTTGATTATATCAACTTTCCTCTTGTGATCAAGGATGCTCGTCCATCTGTCCACCGCAGTCAGCAGGTTGGTTATACAAGAGTAACCCTTACTGAAACCATGCTGTTGGGGTGAGAAGAAATTTAAGGACATCAGATAGTCATATAAACCGTCGCATATCAGGGACTCCATGAGTTTTGAAGGTTCAAACGGAATAGAAGAAGCCTCCGTTTAACAGGCTTCCGTGTCTAGTAGCAGGGGATCACCAAATCCTCCAGGCAGGAACCTAGGTATGTTAACAATAAAAGAGGAAAAGAAATTGGCAAATCATAGTATGATGCTGTTCTTGGTCCTTAAGAATAGATCAAGTTGCCTCTTGAAGGACTCCTGAGAAGTCGCTTGGACTAGCTCGGCTGGCAGCGAATTCCAGCATTTGACAACTCCGAAGGAATAGAAGTAATGTCTACTTTCCGTTTTGCTATGTCGTGGCTCCAGTTTCTGGGCGTTACCCCTGAGTCAAATTAGTGAAGAAAACTTACATGGCTCATTATATTTTATTTTATATATCTGATCGCTTTGGGGAGATCATTCTTGGCTCAGCATTGCCTTGGTAGGTTTGAACCATATTAATCCAGGGGAGGATTTCGTGCTATTTGGGAATCAGTTATATGTGCCTGTATCCTAGAGTTGATATTCACTCCAGGACTCGAAAATAGTACTCTTTACCCGAAGTGCAATCGCCTTATCTACCTAGGTTCTGACTTCAGAAAGCCACATATGTATATATATGCCAAAACAAACGGATCAATTGTAGACTTAAAAATCAATGGAAACATCTATACTATAAATATATATGAATTAAAGTTAGTATATCACCTTAAAAAACACGTTTTCATTTGATCTTCAGAATTTTTCAGGCCTCCTTAAATTGCTTCGTCTTTCTTTTCTAAAGAACTGAGACTCACTTAAGCTCAACGTAAGGTCATTCGCCAAGTCCTTCCTTTTATTTATTTATTGCGTCATTCAGTATTCCAACTCTTTCTGAAATTCACAGTTACATCATTCATAACTGGCGAAATTCAATTCATATCTTTCTTCATTACCATTAATCTACTTTCAGCTACTTCATTACATAATAATCTGTGTTTTTAATTCCTTCAGCTTCAGTAAGCTAGCAATGATTTCTGATTCGTATATAATGTGATGAACTTGTTTTGTAAAATCTCGAGGACTGGAGAAACTTGGGAAGCTTCCTTCGGAACGCTAATTATCTCGTTTCTGTTGAAACCAGTACTTTATGAAAAACGTAATCAGTTCCGTAACGTTTTCAGCCGGCTTAGTGAAGAAACCAAGAACTTCACCTGATGCGCATTTCAATAATGCTAATAGAGTATTGTTGATTAGATACGTTAGTACAATTTTCCGAACTTATAGACTTTTTGAATTCCTAATAATCTCATAAACCAATTTAAAAACGTTTGTTTTTTCCTAAGCATATCTGTCAGCTGCTGCACTTGTTGAGCACAATCGGGTGTAAGCCGACGACAGAGGTAAGTGAAACTTAGAAACCTTCTGAATTATGTGAAAGGATGCAGAATGAAATACCGTTTAACATAATCCAACCACTTTTTATTCGATATGATTCATTCTGGGTTTGTTGTGTCTGAGAAACTTCACAATATGTACCTTCATTCCGTTTTCATCTAACAGTTAAAGTAAGGTCCTCACATGCTGTTTGTGTGATCAAAAAACCGAATCAGCAGTCAATGAATCATCGACGTATATCTGTAGAAAAGACCTATCATCAAGCGATTTGTCCATAAATCTTTAGAACTTTAGTAGTTCAAGTGACATACACACAAACTTGAGCAACTCAAAGGCCATAGTTATGTTGGTATTAGGAATATTTTCCCCAGCGACTGTGAAATGCGTTGAATAAGTCAATCTTAGTAAATATGTTCGTACCTCGTAGGTGGTATGTGGCATCATGGGTATCAGGTACGGGGTCCCTACCTGGTTCAGTTCGATATTTAGTAGCTTTGTAATCCACAAACGGTCCGCCAGATAACTTTGTCTTACTAAGTGGTCGTGTATAGAGATAAGGACATTTATTTATCAGGGGTACTGATAGTACCAAATTATAGCATATAGTCGAGATCATCTTTAACGACTTTTATTTTTCCGGAGGCTAAATTTCTGGGTATCTCAAACACAGATACGACTTAACAAAATGAGTTACTTTAAGCTTACTTAGAGAATTTTGAGGATCCGCTTCAGCCTGAGTTAGAAATTTTGCGGGTATATCCTGAAACGCTCCAGTTATTACGGGAGAAGATTGTGACAATGTGCAACTAAACGTCACATCGAGTTTCGAATGGCGTTTCCTGGCGTCGGTTAAAAATCCATATATTTTTGAGAAACCTATTCTAGATCCGAGTCTGCCGCGGCAAACACTCAGGAAAAAACAAGACACATCACTGTTTGTGACTAGTCAGAAGCCAGGCGTATTGTTGACTGCTCTTAGTTGATTAATTACTAATCTATTAGTCGCACGGAGGCAGTTCAGATTGTCTGCAGTGTTTTTACCTCTTGAGCTTCGATGTTGTCATAACCCTCTGCTATTATGTTAGCTTTTAGAACATTAGCAATTGTCTCTGTAAAAATTTCGACATTTCCGATGAGTTCTACTATAACGGCCTGGACAGGTCAGTATTAATAACTTCAAATAAACCATATGATAAGCGCGCCACACATTACTGTAGACAATAAAAAAGTGACACAGTATATAAATGGAGTAAATGACTTCTGTCACACAGAGAATATACATGGAGGGATTTTCAGCAACGCTAGCATGCACACGCCAATCGAAACAAAAAGACCTCACAACCAAAATGATGTTTAGTGATAGATGAACGAACTTAGAAGCCACTCACAGTTGCGGAGTATATGAAAGTCTTCAGGGAAGAATTCACAGACTGTTGTGCCGGGAAATCCAGTAAAAATCGAAATTCCAGTAAGACTAGTCGTCACCACAGTTTATCATAAAAACTTAAAGGTAAAAGGGGGTATCAGCTTTCCCCTCAAGAAAGTAAGAACTTGCCTACTGAAATGTGGCTTTAGTCTAATACACAACCTTTGCTTTCGATGCAAATAACATTTCAAGTATGTCCGAACTCTATTTAATAGATAGTTGTATCCATACGGAACTAAAGCTCAGTGCTATGGCGGGATAATTATTAAGCATAGTTGAACCGCGGATTTAACACACATATACGAACACAGTATATCCCAATGTGTTCATGGACTTTCCCAGTCTTTACAATTTATATGTAGCTACCGATTTGGGAATTTCTGTATCGTCAGTGATGTACAAACTACTGTTCATTCGGACAATTATTTTCACGAATAACTATACAAACGCTTATTGTAGATCCAGGTTAGTTGTTTCTCTTGCTAATACCTTGCAAGGACAGTTATTACTCATAGACCGTGCTGTCTCCTAAAAATAGCTGGTGCAGTGAGATAAGATACTGTAGTCAGTGATTCATACTTTCTATTGAATTGTCTTTATCAAATGCAGAACTGTTTGTATTACTGAAATTGTCTACTCGGCCTCATAAGCGAAAAGTCAACCCATCAAATAAAGCCAGCTACCAAATTAAAAACGTAACAGAACAGCAAATGTCCGATTTGCCTCCATCAGTATCTAACTTAGTTTAGCTTACACTCAGTCAGACAATAGCATAGTCCGTTTATTGTATATCCAGCCATGCTCGAATATGAAACTTATCCGAAAATGCTCGCCAGTGTGGATTTGGAACGTTAACACCCTATGTGGACCATCCCACTAATTAAACGACCAATCCAATTCACTGATCCTCATCAACTCGAACCCTGCATCCGCAAAGAATAGCACAAGATCTGCCAGCTTACATATATGGTATAACAGTTGACGTAGTTTAAACAGTATCACAGAACACTAGTTTCATATAGAAGAAAGATAAGAACACAAGCCATTTTATTAATAGCAAACAATTTAAAAGGTACAATGAATATCTCCCCAATTTTATAGAATTTTAAATATTCTGCTTTTCTACTAGCCCCCCTTCTCCACTAAACATAATTGATATTTTCTAAGCTAAACGTGTAAGTAAGACAGTGAATAATAAAATACATGCACATTGAAGCAGATATGAAGATGATACAATGACGAAAACAATCACAACAATGACAGTAAGCTAAAAGTTAAAGATAAGCAGGACAAAAATAAAACTAAATATATTGTGTGCCTGACGAAAAATGGAAAGATACTCTACACTTCAACAAGAACATATGCAAAGAATAGGATGAAGAGATATCTTAAAGTGTCATTACACAGAATGATGGATAAAAGTAGTACCAGGAACCAGTGAAGTGAATTTCCCATCCAATTTCTATAAAGCATATAAGTATACTAAAGAACAAAAGAATTAAAAAATAGACGCGAATAAACAATACACATTAGATGATTATCAGAATGAATAGTGAGTCAAACTGTCTAGATATCAAGAATATTACTCTTTATCTGTAGTAGTCTATCACAAGATAAGAAACAGAGAAGTTAGCGGACCAACAAAAAGGATATTGCCAAAAGTATCTCTTAAAATATTTACTAAGAAAAAGTCAACGAAACCAGAAAATGCAAACATAATGCGTGAAAAGTAACGAGAATAAGATGTTTATTTAAACAAATAAATATAAATATGAGATAAATGGTCTGTTGTAATGCAACTGAATTAATGACAATAATTAACACTGATAAACATGGATAAAACAATTGATTTTAGTGATATTTACTAATCATCAACACTGTCTAGACCACAGGAATTTTGAATTTCATAAAAACACGCGGTAGGATCAGGTGGTTGATGATTCCAAACAGCAGAGGGCAAGTTTAAATCTTCCATTGGTATCCATTTGTAGCCGACATTACGTGACATCTGAGGAAGAAACAAAAATAAAAACAATATGTGATTAGTAATTTAAATGTTATTTCAAGAATGAATACAGGTGTATGTGTGTATTACTTTGGTGAAGGAATTTTAAATAGTTGTGTCGCTTCTAATACTGGAATTGAATATTTTAGCGCCCATGGCTGATTGCATAACGATGAAATGCTTTTGACATTAATGAAATACATCCTATTTACCTTTGAGGTATTTTGTTGACAAATTCCGTTGATAAAAACGTAGATACGAAAATTGGACTATAAAAGGAAATGAAGAACGTATATTTCAGAAATCCGATGATATAGGAGAATGACAAGTGACGAAAAGAAATGAATTTGGACTAGAATGGAAAAAATAACCAATTCAGTGAATCAAGACTTTGTATTAATCAAAAGTATTTTGCAATACAAGTTATCTAACCTGACAACGTTTACGGGATTTCATAAATAATGTTAGTTTCTCAATGCTTATTATCAGTTTTCCAAACTTAGTGTCACAGAAATATCGTTAAGCAACGTAATTTAACCTCCAAATTTATTCACGACTACAGTTTATTCCTGAATCTTTGAAATGGCCAAAAATACTTCTAGGTAAAATTCATCTTTATCCACAAAATCTTTACTATTGCAGCGAATTTGTAGAGCTTGCTTAAATCAAAGGTAACTCACAACGCAAGTCATCAAACTAATTACAATTCATTGACTTTTCACAGATTGAAATCATGAGTCAGTTGAAGCTAGACCACCATGGGAAACCTGGAGGCATTAACACCGTTGGATGCCGGCTCAGTGGTCTAATGATTAAGTGCTCGCGCGCGAAGCCAGTAGGCCCTGGGTTCGAGTCGCGCGGGGTGCGGGATCGTGGATGCACGCTGCTGAGGAGTCCCACACTAGGACGAAACGGCCGTCCAGTGCTTCCAGGTTCTTCATGGTGGTCTAGCTTCAACTGACTCATGATTTCAATCTGCGAAATTTCTAAAATCTCCACAAACCCCTTCTGATAATTTTCAAGACTTGTCGATTTTTCGACCTTAATATTGCAGAGATATAGCTATCTAATCTCACTGTAGATCTATTCACTATAAAACTTTCTTCCTGAATCAAACACTTATGAATACTTCTAGAGAAAATTCATCACCATTTACAAAATCTTTACTAATATATACACCGAAGAGGCACGGAGGTGAAATTATAAGAGAACCATCGTTCTTGCCATGTTAATATAGAGAATTGACGCATGGAAATTGTCATTCATTCTAGCACTCCGACTTCACCAGCTCACCCTTTGATTTAATTGACTGTAGATATCACAGTTTTTACTAAAACTTTGGTAGTCAACTAATGACAAAGCCAGTTCAGTGTGACTACATGATTATTGGTGATTAAAATAATTGTATGGACTACATAAGATGAATATGTACTACTGAAGGATCCGAAACATTAATTGTTCAATGCTGTTGTGATTTCCAGTTGACATTTTATCCGAAGGTTACTTCCAACAGTATGAAACAATTGAGATGAAACCATTTAGCTTAACAGGTTACTTGATTTACTGCAATCTCATCACGTGAAATTTTGTCTTATATCTCACGAAGCAGTTACAGTGACGAATTTCCTAAATAAGTGCATTAGTATGGGGTGATGATCATTATAATTTATATTACATGAGTATTAACTCAGCCTATTACTTTTTTCATAACCAACCAGTATATCAAATTTGCGAGTAAAAAAAATTGTAGTTCTGATATTTCGTGACGTAATGTAAGTCACTACTTCAGAGTAAATAACGACTAATATATCATACATTGCTTTGTACTTGATAAATTGTCTTTTGAGATGTTGGAGAAGATTTGTAGCTCATGTGGATGGTTTTGATAGAGTTTTGTTCTCTGAAGTTTGTGCTGATGATGTCATTCAAAAGAACGATGAAAGCTCCGCGTGACTATCGTAACCAATTGTTAGAGACTCTTGGTGACATGACTCAGAATCGATCACAATGGCGTCGATGTATACATTCTCTGTCTTCCTTTAAATTAAGAGATTAAAATCGCTTCATATCTTTCTTTCTATGAATTCTTTCTTCCTATACTATATCCTTATTGCAATCTTTCTTTTATATATTACCACCTCTGAATTAACTACTTTTATGATTCCGGTGTCCATCTTGTTGTGTTAACGAGGTATGGCAACTTGGACCGATGCATTTATGTGCCTGGTCCTACGTTGTAGCTGACTGACTGACTGACTGACCGACCACGACTAAACCATTCAGCTTAGAGAACAAAACTCCATCAAAAATGATAAATTCTCTCTTCAAATTCTTATCTCCTTAAAATAATCATCATATTGAAAACAAATCATAAGGATTGTGTATGGAAATACAAACATATTTACAACAAATAAAAATAAACAACTATTTCCTAACAAACAAATCGATGTAAACACATGTGATTATAGTTTACTATAGAATTGTTTTATAACATTTAAAATACAAAACAAATTTGTGTTAATCATATGAGGCCTTTTCTATTGAAAATGTCATGCTTATAAATATTACACATTAATTTATTAGAAATGTGTGATATAAAACAAGACGAATAAATCTTATATTTCCTACATTTATAAACATTGTCAACAGGTTCTATGTGTCTGCCTGTTTTATTTCTATTTTCCATAGGGAGATATGCTTAGACAACTAGAATAATGTGAAATGACAATATTCAAGTTATTTATCATCAAATAATATAACTGAAGTTAACCAAAGGTCAGTATTTCAAAATACAAAAGTAACATATGTATAGTTATTTGAACCAAAACTAGACATATTTATTTGAATAACTATGAAAGGGATTTTTCCATGTATTTCATAGGTTTCCGTTAAAACAAACCCCAAGACCATTTGTGAGTAATGAATTCACGTCTTGCTACACTACTACTCAATCGTGTTATGAAAAATCCCAACACATATAGGATTTAAGATGTATCACATTTAACGTGCAGGCAATTATAATACGGTTGTCCAGTACTTTCAGGTTTTCAATAGTGATCTAACATTCATTCATTCATGATATCAATTTAAAATGATAAAGAGGCAAGTTTATTTATAGAAATCATTGTTCAAACTGAATGATACATTGAATGTGAATTCAATGTTTTAATTACATATTGTTTATAAGAATCTTTAGATATTAAACGAAATATACACAAAAATAACAGTATTGCTAACAAATTAGTTACTTTTAAGTTGATCAAGGACTGATTTATTTGTTAGAATTTTTGTGTGTAGCAAAATTCATGAAAATGTCAGTTATCAATATTAATGATACAATTGGACAATTATAAATACTTTCCAATACAATGAATATTACCATGCTAACTTTTCAATGTTATATGGAGACTATCATCAACTGAATATACATTTCTCATCTATACATAAGAACATATAATACATAGTAGAAATAAGGATTGTCACTGACTACTGATATTTGTTTCACTGTGACTAGAAATGTACAGAAATTTGTTGGAAATTATTTAGAATAAGAGAAAACAAAGAAACTTATCTGCTTTAATATTGATTATTTCGACACAATAATGGACAAGAGATAGAATGAGACAAAAACCCCAAGTTACAGATGGGAGAAGCTGTGAAAAATCTATTTTTAAAAAGTCTTGTTAATAAATTTTGAGATTGTGTTAAAGACTTGTAACTGTGGTGGTTAATTTTAATGAAATTTGTTCTCTCAGTTGAATAACCTGATCGTGAGACTTTTACTATCTTTATACACAACATTATCAGGTCAAACTTCAAATTCGTAGCTTACTCCTATTCGAAGTTTGTCTTGACGATGACACCAAGAAAGATAACGAAAGCTTGACGATTAAACTATAAAGATTAGAGGACGCAATTCCAATGAAATTGTGAATAAATACAACAGTTGCATTAAACATAAATCATTCAGCAATCAATCAAACAGGAAACTTATTTTTTTAATTAACTAAATCGATTTGATCAATTTATAAAGAAGAAAACACTTCTGATAACATACACAACACTTCACAATTGTCAGATAATGCCAAGATTATTAAATAATGTCTAAGAATTTGAAAAACAAGCGACTATACAAAGTAGATATTACATCCAAGTCAATCATATATAGACCTAATAATTTCATACACACATATACAAACTTAAAAACGAACAAAGATTAACTAAATAACCATGCAGAGAGACAACTGATTTATTCATTCTATTGTAAATGACACAAAGAAAAATAGAAGCAAATATGTGATATTTATAGAGAAAAACAAAATCATAATTATTTAGAGGAACGTACTGACTCTAGGCATTATTACTAATATTTAGATTCTGAGTGTCTTCTTCTAATATATGGTAAATTAACTTAAGCTATGTTAAAACATTAAGAGGGGAAAAATTGGATCAGCATGTAGAACATGCACCAAATACAAGTTTATATATTCGGCTTTCATTTAGAATCTATATACGATAATAAGTATTGATAATCCTGTTCAACCAAGTTGATAAGTTCAATGTTAAATAGAAGAGGAAACTTATGTTTACAGTTATTTCCATATATGAACTAATTTTAAGTAACAATAACTATATATATGATTTATGTGGTGCATGTGTATTCGGTGCCCTTTTGTACCAATAGTCATGTGTTTAAATAAATAAACTCCTCTACATCACTCATTCGACTCATCCCCAAATCAACAAAAGAATAAGATTGAAACAAAAAAATATTCCGAATAAGCGAAACAATATGATAAAAGTATAAGAATTTATATCGAAATTATGAGAGAAGAGTTCAGTACATTTTTTTCACAATTTTTCTATTAGGATTGATTAATCGAAAATCAACCAATTAAAATGCTCTGATTTGGTCTTCTATTCACAGCATGCAGTTGTCATAATTCTATTCTTATAACAGAATGACATTCAACAATGAAAAACTAATGAATGATACTAAGCTCTGAATTTAAAAGAAAGGAAGATTGAAGAAAAGGAAAGTAACTGGAGTATTATAACAAAAATCTTGAATAAAACCAATCACATTTTAAGCTTTTTTTGCTTAAGTACAACCTTTGAAACAGTTAAGAATGATTTTTTAATGATAATGAATTTATAATAAATTACAATGGTTATTGATATAACTATTGAACCTGTAATAGTGAATGAAACCAATGTTTTATTTTGTTATCCTTTGAGATGAACTATAATAATTCCGAACTATAAATAGTTGAGAGACTATTCTTCATAGGAAATAAGATCAATACCAATTAGATAGACTTAGTGATTAATATACAACAATTTCACAATAATTATTTATGAAATGAAAGTGAGATAATTCTTGTAATATTGATATATTGATAAAATCATATCTGAATTCACTCAGTTACATAACAATTAAGTTCAATGAGTATTAGTTACAAAAATTACATTAAAAACGGAATAATTGTCATTTGAATGAGAAATCATAGAGAATTAATATAAAATTTAACAAGTTAATCAGAATCAATTCTCGTGATTAATGATCATTCGTGTTATGAATCATTAATTAATCAGTGAAATTTGTAATGAGAATTAATTATTATTACACTAATAAATAAAATCTCAGTAGTTGAGATTATGAGTCAATTGAAGCTAGACCACCATGGGAAACCTGGAAGCACTGAACGGCTTATTTGTCATGTTATAGAATTCCTCAGAAGTGCGCATACACGACCCAGCCTCGCGGGATTCGAACCCAGGACCTATCAGTCTAGCTTCAATTGACTTACGATCTCAACTATTGAAATTACTAAAATCTTCACAGAACCCCTTCTGATACTAATCAACGTATGCTCACTAGTGACTGGCTTCAAGATGTATATCCTGGAGTTCTAGTGAGAAGCAGTGACCAGTGGAGTGCAACCGGGTCAATTGTGAGATAGTAACTCACTGATGACAATGGTGGATGTGTCGCTTAATTTTGGGGATTACTTGAAGTTAGACGTTAACTGGTGGATGCCGGGTCAGTGGTCTAGTGGTTAAGCGCCCGCGAGCGGGATCGTGGATGCGGACTGTTGAGGAGTCCCACAATAGGAAGAAACGGACGTCCACTGCTTCCGTGGTGGCTTAGCTTCAATTGACTCATGATCTCAACTATTGAACTTACTACAATATCCACAAAACCCCATCTGATACTAATAAATAAAACTCATTATTATATGATTGAGAAAAAATGCTCTTTTTTCGTGTTTAATTTACCAAACTTTAAGAATTTGCCACTTAAAAATAATTAAAAGTTAGATTTTAATATAATTTATAAGAAATGCATAATAACAATTATAAAACTATAAGGAAAACTATTAGAACAAGAGATAAGAAGGTGATGTTATTGTTACGTACCTAGCTTATATGATTACCGCGAATACGGCTACCAAATTTAGATACTCGGATTAATATGACCAACAAATGACGCGTACACCTGAACAAACGGCTTAGAATCCCGATTGATCATTTTCCCTACACGTTAAGTCCAAAACACAAATCTGAGCTTCCGCGATATAAATCATACATTTCAAACACACTGGGTTTACATACAATCCAAACAGATCACATCACACCACAAAATAGAAAATATTTGTACGAGATCTAGCCAAAGCCGTTATGATTTGGGAGACTGTAGTTAATAAAATAAGTAGAACTTATTTATTTAAACACAAGGAGACACCAAACAGATATGCGCCACAAAAATCATTCGAGTTGTGTGCGGCCTAAGATAGTTCCCGGTCGTCCAGACCGAAGCAGGTGGTTTTCTTTGTTGAGCCACTCCCTAGCCTTCGACCTAAAGGTCTGATCCACAAGGCAGTGGAGCAACGTTAGGAGATGCAGTCACATGGTAGGCGGTGACCAACAATAGGTTTACACGCCATTTCTCCCGTCAGGATCGTGGATCCCTTGTGTATCATTGGTTGGGAATCAGGTGTCTCCAACTTCCCTATGTGGATCTTACATATCCACCAACCCGGCTAAAGCGCCGGGCATTTGCTTATCGTCCTCCCAATTTCATAAACAACGCCCCTGCGTGAGAAGGCATAACTTAATAGTGAATCGTATAATGAAAGTTTATAATAAGAGGAATATCAATATACATAGTTTGGTTACTTAACAATTATACAATAAAAATATATGCATAGTATTAGTCCATTAATAGATCCCAACAGTTACCATTCATTATTTTCGTTGGGATATAACAATTATGTTTTAACTTGGCATGATAATTTGTTAGCTTTAACTTTCGTTTTATTTCAGTTATATGATTTTTGTTCGTAAGTATTTATTCATTGTGAATTTCGTTTTATATAACATGACGAATGTGTATTTTTAGTAATTTTGTGCTAAATCTATTAGTGTATCCCCTCATATCGGTTACATATAATGTTAGTGTTGAGGAGATTCACAAAAATTCCTCGAAAAAGCCCAAACGGGCCCTGAAAACTCTGGGAAACATTTTATCTAATCACCTAACAATAGAAGTTTCTTCGAAACATCTTGAAAGTGAAGAGTAACGTGTCACTTTTCTGAATGGGTAAGTGCCTATTCTGCTACTATGTTTAGAAGGGTTCTAGAACTTTTACGATTGAGCATCATAAAATTCAGTCATTAAGCCTAAATTCGATGGTACGTATTTCCTAATTTCAATTAATCCATGAAATGATGTGGAATTACTCAATGTTATCTTTGAATAAATGCATGATTTTCGCCTTCATAAATCACGATTTCAGAACAAAACTTCCGGAAATTCACTGAGGGACGTAAAAAATCGAATTTTACCAACTCAATGGTTGGATAGTATTGTGGTTATCGCGAAATTCAAAAATAAAAATAGTAGGTGAATTAGATTAACACAAGTCTAAATACTATAAAAGACACAAAGCAGAACATTTTCAGTACAATCTAAATTAAAATAGATTTGATGATATTAACATTGTCATTCCAGTCACGGTTACTTTTTTGTGTGAAACCTAGCTGTGTGTAATTATGTGTTCGTGAGTGAAGAAAATGAGATATTTGTAACGTGGAAGAGTAACGTCAGGAATACATTTGTTAGTGGTGTGAAACGTGGATAGAATTAGTTGTGCGAATATTTGAATAAATGGTCCATATTGGATGGATAGTTAGACGTGCTTTTCTCCTTTCTAGTTCTAGAGGTTATTTGAAAGTGTTTTTGTGTGTTCTTTGGCATCAGTCATGATTTCATGAGAAGACTGTCCAGTATAGAATAAGTCACCATCTACACATCACAGTCTGTAGACATAATTCTGTGTCGAAGTGATAAGTATTTTATCTTTTATTTGAACTCGTTGTTTTATACAGTGCCTAAATTCTGTGTGATCTAAGGATTCTTTGTAATTCTTCTGTTATGCCATGATGATATGGCAGAACAACAGGAACAAACCTTTGTACTGTGTAAACTTGTGCTAATTTATTTTCGTTCTCGGAAGAAGTGGTGGTTTACATTAAGTTCTGAATGCTCTAAGTCTTGTTTCAATTAAAAATCTTTAAACTTTCGGTAATTACTTGTTATTCATTCTTAATCATTTAGTTATTACAACGTAAGACGATATATTCATTAAAAAAAAGAGTGGAGTAATTCAAATTCATAAGAGCTACTAGTTGGGAGTTGTGAATACTATGCTACAATATCAAATGTTTGAAGACTTTCTAAATCGAACAGATCCACTCCTAGTCTTCCCTTAGTACTCGAGTCTCGGAGTCTTCTCATACCTTTTATTTCTTTTTCTTTACCTAATCGTCTCTAACACCACTGATACTGCTTAATACTCTTCAATTTATCTCCAAATAATTTTATTTCGCTGTATTAATGTGGGACAGCAACTTGAACCAGTGCATGTATGTGTCAGGTTATTTACATTGCGTATGACTGAATGACTTATTTCAACAAGATTCATGTTGATTTAATCTATAATACACATCGCTTGTAGTAAATATTCTTGAAAAGAAAAAGTAATGCACAGGTTACTAATTTGTTATGTACTTTTATTCAACATGTAGAGATAAATCAATTAGATACAGATAACACTGTTTTGATATTTCAATTACTCACTTCATTTAAATTCTCATCCAAATTAAATGGCCAAGATTGATCATCAATAGAAATACAACAACTAGGAATACGAAAAGATTTGAGTGATGTACCACGAAGAGCTGTAAAAGCTTTCATATCCACAATATTAAACCAGTAACCTTTAAGTAAAAGCAAAATAAAAGTCACATTTAATATAAAATTATAAAATAATAGAACGTGTGGAAAAATACACATTAATGACACTGATCAATCTACAACTGCATGGTTAGTGTCTGTAGTGAAGAGAATACGGAAATAACAAACAATGAAAGCTAGGTTTTGGGGTATTAGTTCGCTTACTCCCTAATCAATACTTATTAGCATTTAGTTTATATAACTGCCTTATTTCTTTAATCACAGGCTTCCGTTTAATCTATAATCTATTGTAATTAAAACGCTAGTCTTGTATCTCATTTTTTGGCATCTTGGCATATACTAATATCTTTTTAACTTATTGTGATTTATGGTCCAATTATTCACACATTTGATCATGTACTCTTTTGAGCTAAATTGTCTTCGAAACAGGTGTATCTCCTCTTGTCAATCAATCACTGCTAGCAGAGATCATTCATCAGCAAATAGGATGATCCTCCGCCTGCAAATTAGTTATATATCGAACATTTTCAAGGTTATACTAAGTAGCCTGACACACCAAGGCCGTTAACTAAATTTGAGACCAATCTCCCTGCATACCTATCAAAAGAACCAGTGGGCAGACTAAGGTCACAGCAGCGTTGTTACAATAATAATAGATGAATAGGTATTCATTCACAACCCTGTTTTTTACGAAAGTGATGCGACCGCGAATTTCACAACGGATACTGTCTGAATACTTAGTTGTTTCATTTATGAATAACGCGAACATATTTCGATTCAATAGGAATAAAAAGGCCGTGCCATACAAAGTCAGATGGTAACATTACGAAATAAAATACGGAGAAGTCATGTAATCTACATAAAATGGATAGGTATAGAATAATATTTATTAATAGACACCGTTCGATCAGGAAGGTGACCACGGATAGGATTTCGCTCACTTAAGAAATTGTATCTTACTTTTATGGAGAACACAATGATATGTTGTAGTGCAAAATCACCACTGGCTCCAATTATGAGTCACATTTGGTAACGTTTCAGGTTACTGGATTGTGATATATTGTATCCCACTTATAAAACTGTAATGAGCCAACAGATATCAGTCCTGCCGTTTATTTTACAGTATTTAGGACATTGGAACCGATTCTGAGCCATTGCATTCAGTCTATAGTCACTTTCTAAAGCAATAATCAAGTAGAACTAAGTTGGGTAGCCTCAGTCTATCAACACAGCTCAATCCCATGGTCAATGTCCCCTTGGACTGATTCCACTTCTTGGTTCAAGAGTCCCTAGATTCCTTCCAATCTACCCCTACATCAACAAACAACCCCCGTCGAGGAATTTTATGGTTCGGTATACGTAATACATACCCCTCCCAAAAAACACCTGATCTTATGAAAATTTCACTACTCCATCGATCAATTTGCAATTCCTTACCTATTATACTGAGTCTAACTTCAGCTATGCTAACTCAGCGGTCCCAACAAAAGAGCACTGTTTCGAAAACAGCTATAGTTGAACACTAGTAACCTACGAATATCCTGTTTCCAAAAACTGTATTTCACAACAATAAAAAATAACAGAGTAAACTGCTGTGCAATATAATAGTCTCTTGGTCGACATAGGAACATCTCCCCCACAACACAGGTGACACAGGTTGGTAAAAGCCAACCGACTTTTCTGAACTAGTCCCAATATTCTAATAGACACATACTCAACAGGGCTGACGAAACTTCCAAGATAAGTGGAGTGGTCGACAAGTAAATTTCCTAGTATGAAATCAATCAACGATGATATCAACAGAATTATCGTTGCTATTCCCTAACACATATTGGTGGACCTCGAAACTATTAGAGCGGTTCTCAAATAAATATCCTGATCTCGGATGGGTTAGGTTTTACAACCATAAAGTGAAACTGCCCCTATTAACATATTGTGCCCTCAACCTTTGATAGTCAGTTGTGATAGATCAAAAGATATTCCAGACTGGTATGAGTCGATTCGGCTCTCGCTAAGCAACTGCTCTGTAAATCGTATAGAACATTTGGACAGAAGACTACGCATGAGTTGGTCGATAAATACACAGGGTCATTTTTGAGTAACTAAAACATTGCATTACAGTCTTACATGTTTTGACGCACTCAATTTCATCAAAATTACATATTAATATTAATTCAATTTAAACGGTCAAACTATTTGACGAGTAAGGGACGGTTTCCGTAAATTTAATTTTACTGGATGTGAAATTGTATTTTCATGTACCTTAGTTCCCCTAACCCTTAGGTCAATCAAAAAAGTAATTCCCATGGTCTAATGGAGAACTTGCTTTCAGAATAAAAACCATCAAATTCAAAAGGGCAGCATTTCACAAATTTTATTAACACCATCATGTTGTTGCACATGTTTACATAGAACAGCGAGGCGAACAATATGCTTCGAGATATGTTTGTTGGCGTTGGATTTCTAACCAAGGAAGAGTCAGCTAGACAGCTAACAGTTGACGGGAATCAAGCTTCCTGTTATTTTGCTATATTGAATAGCCATTGCAAAGAGAGGGATTTTTATATTAAATATGTATGGAGAATGAAAAAGAATCCGTCAACGGCCGATATCTTCATCAAGGCGAAGGTATGTTTCTCCAAATATCCTGTATATACTAAACTAGACATGCTATTAGATATGTTGGTCCTCCGTAAATGTTCATATGGCAAATGGATTCACAACCGCACGTTGTTCATGAGCAAAGTTCATGGTTCCGTCGTCTGACAGACCAAATATAGAGCGCTCTCCCCTTACTGTTGTCGGGAGTAGCAGCATTTGTACCAATCGATTCCGTTTAAGAAACCTACGGAGAACAACTTGCACAGGATGTCTGGAAAATCAAACCTCCCAGGTTTGTTTAGTAGTTTTCATAATGTTTTGAAACCTTCGCAGAGCACATCGTGCAGCTGGAAGGCGAAGCACAGACGTGGTGTGACATATAAGGTCAGCTGCAGTACTATTTCTTCTGTACATGGGATACGAATAACATAGCTTGCCGGTTTACATACATCATAGGAATTGGTGGCACCTTAAATATAATGCAGAAATACCGCTCTACCAGTTAGTAACATTGGATACATCAATGAGGGCGACACCAGTAGCCTTTGGATTTATAGTTGGCGAGACATCTTATCTTATGAAAGGTTTTTAGCCTTTTTCGTGTCTTTCTGGTATACTAGTAAGAAGCTTCAGTAGTGACAATAGCCCTGTCATTGGCAATGCTCTAAGTGGAAACTTCCTGGCTGCGCACCACACTTTGTGCAGATTTCACATCATACGGAACGTTATCCAGAGAGTAAGTAGGTTTCTAAGATGGCTCCCGATGATTATGACAATGAAGCCAGTGCAGGGTGCTCAACAATGAATGTTCATCGCTTAACATGATTCATTTAATTCACATGAATTCGTAAAATATTGGAACCGATATTAAATTTAGTATTTTTTAGTATTTCCTTACAACTCTATAAAATAATAATCATGGTAATCATTTCATTAGTAGCATAAAATAGATTAATTTGAACTTCATGATAATTTGTATCCAGTTCACTGCAGGCTATTATTATATTTATTCATGATTAGTAATGTTCGTTTATAAGTTGACCTCTTCCTAATTGTTATCAGGAAAATCAATGGAATCAGCTGACCTTAATATTCCGCTACAGCCTGTTAGGATTTATGTAAGATTATATTCAACGCAGTTGTAATATAGTCTTATCAGTTGATAATTCTATTAGAGTACTGATTCTTCAGACCATATTAATTGTCTGACATGAATTCAATATGTTCACCCCGACCGTTGTTGCTACCTTGACGTGGTGGTCGGGCTTGCCTATCGTGATGAAGCAACCGAGCTATACTGGCTGGAACAACCGTTCCTCAAGGTCCTACCATGTCAGACAGGTCGGTTGAAGAGCGGTAAGACTAAAAGCAACAAACCCAAGGTCCGAAGGCGAAGTCGTACTGCTGACTGTACAGAGGTGTGACAGCAGTAAGGTGTTTCCTTCAGACAACCAGCATGACAGCGATGCTGCCTTCCCACAAGGAGGGGTGGGGTTAGAAAAGGTCGACCCTAAAAATGCACACCTCGCCTTATCCCACGGATATCCGTCTCCGGCGGTAAGGTCTCAATAAGTACGGAGCTAACACAAAAATTACCCATAACAAGGTCGTGTGTGACCGACCTCAAGCAGTTGTCCCTTGGGCACTGCGGTCACGCTCTCAGTTCACTAAGACCACCTTTAATCCAATTTCCTTTTCAGGTACCTCCAGAACAACCCTTCCACGGTGTGGGCAACCGGGAAGTGATAACCGCCCTCATACTTCTAACAGCACTCAAGTCCACTGTATTCATAATCAACCTCCTTCTTCAATTCCTATTATTCCTCCTACATCGACTTTCAACTCTGTATTTCCTCTCTCGGCTTCCACCTCAAGTGTCACCGTAGCCAACGATTCTAGTGCGCAAAACACTGTCCCAGGTCTACTGAAACCTCGCTCCAAACTACACATTGGAGCCTTCAACGTACGCACCCTATGTCAAATCGGTCAGCAGGCTTCCTTGGCTAAAACCCTAGAGTCTCTTTCCATTGATGTATGCTGTGTCTCCGAAACACGCATACAGGATTCCAGTGTGGTCATTCACTTGACCTCACCTCGGCAAGACGGAGAGCCAACGAGATACACCCTTCGTGTGTCCGGTGACCCGATGGCAAGTTCTCGTGGACTGGCAGGTGTAGGCATAGCACTAAGCATAAGGGCCGAACAAGCACTGCTAGAGTGGATCCCCGTCAACAGTCGTCTATGTGCTGTTCGGCTGAACGGCTACGTAAGAACTCGGAAGGATAGGGACACACGTCGTTGCCTTTTTGTCGTTTCTGCCTACGCTCCCACTGACTGCAGCTCAGATGAAGTGAAAGATGAATTTTACAGAAAGCTATCCGAACTTCTTCAGAAAGCTAAACGCTCAGACATAGTACTCGTAGCAGGTGATTTTAATGCTCAGATAGGCAGTTTAAACCAAACAGAAAGGCATTTAGGTGGATATTTTAGTATTCCGACACAGCGAACAGATAATGGTGATCGTCTGCTGCAGCTATGCTCAGACAATCGTTTATTTTTAGCAAACACAAATTTTAAGCATAAGGAGAGACATCGTCTAACATGGCGACCCCCTACACCAAACCAACGATGGACTCAAATAGACCATATTGCCATCAGTCATCGTTGGAGAGGGTCGGTAGAAGATTGTCGTTCATTCTGGAGCACCTGCTTGGACTCCGACCATGCCCTAATACGGGCACGCATCTGCTTGCGCCTCAATGGACGCAAAAAAGCCACATTAAAAAGACCCATTAGAACTGAGTTGAGTAACGAGAAAACCAAAAGTAGGTTCCAGGAACAACTGAGGTCACACTTAGTTAGTTGTGAAGACGAGGCTGACCCAGATGTTGCTTGGAAGGACATACAAGCAGCTGTGGAAACAGCAGTGACATCTGTTAGTGACTTAAACCACAGAGTTACAAGGAACCAGTGGATTTCTTCAAGGTCTGTCACACTGATGGATTCTCGCAAACTCGTCCCATCAGGTTCTGAACATGATGAAGAGCGTAAACAAATCAGATCTAGGTTAAGAAAAAGTCTAAGGAACGACCGTGAGCAGTGGTGGGTAACGAAAGCAAAAGAGATGGAAAAGGCGGCGACTATAGGGAACACAAGACAGCTTTACAGACTAATAAAAGAAACTGGAACTAATAAGTCAAGTGTAAGTGAGATTATTTCGGAAAAAGATGATACTCTCATCTGCTCCCAGTCCAGACGTTTAGAACGATGGGCGGAACATTTTAGAGAACAGTTCAGCTGGCCTTCAGCTACTCTACAACTACCCTCCATTCCCAGACAAAGTGAATGGAACATTGAAGTAGGTCCCCCAACTCTTGCTGAAGTTGAGAAGGCTATAGTTAATCTGAAACGAGGAAGGGCAGCTGGTCCAGATGGACTGGCTCCAGAAGTCTTTAAGGATGGTGGTCCAATTTTAGCGACTAGGTTGACTAATATTTTGGCTAAAATCTGGGAGTTAGACGTTATCCCATCTGACTGGTCGCAATCACTTATCGTCCCAATATATAAGAAAGGGTCAAAATCATCCTGTGACAACCACAGAGGGATTAGTTTAACAAACATAGTATCTAAAATACTGGCCTCGATAATTATCAAACGCCTAACTAAGACTCGTGAACTACAAACACGAGAGAACCAAGCTGGCTTTAGACCTGGTCGTGGCTGCATCGACCACATATTCACCATTCGTCAGGTTCTAGAACACAGGCATACCTATCGGCGTCCGACGATGGTGGTCTTTCTTGACTTAAAAGCAGCATTTGACTCTGTAGACCGCGAGACTCTGTGGCAGTGTCTGTCATTGAAAGGCGTACCTCAGAAGTACATAAACCTTGTGAAGGCTCTTTACTCGAACACTACTAGTCGAGTCAGGGCTTATGGCGAACTGTCATCTACCTTTACAACCTCAAGTGGTGTCCGTCAAGGCTGCCCACTTTCTCCATTTTTGTTTAACTTCATCATAGACCTATTGATGGAAATAACACTCTCGTCGACTGAATTCTCGGGTATTGATCTCCTTCCAGGAGGTCCACTTATCGACTTAGAATATGCAGATGACATAGTCCTGTTTGGTGAAGACGCTGACAAAATGCAGAGTCTTCTGGTAGCACTAAGCAACAATGCCAGAATGTTTGGGATGCGCTTCTCTCCCTCTAAATGCAAGTTGTTGCTTCAGGACTGGTCTGCGTCAACACCTGAACTAAGGATAGGGAGTGAAGTAGTCGAACGCGTTGACAACTTCACTTATCTTGGAAGTCTGATCAGCCCTAATGGGTTGGTGTCTGACGAAATCTCAGCACGGATTCGTAAAGCTCGTTTGGCTTTTGCCAACTTACGTCACCTTTGGCGGAGGCGAGATATCCGTCTATCAATAAAAGGACGAGTATACTGCGCGGCTGTCCGTTCTGTTTTAATTTACGGCAGCGAAACATGGCCCTTAAGAGTAGAAGACACCCGTAAGCTACTAGTATTTGACCACAGATGCCTTAGAAATATTGCTGGCATCTGCTGGGATCACCGGGTAAGTAATAGTGAGGTTAGACGCAGGGTATTAGGGAATGATGGTAAATCAGTTGATGAGGTTATGAATCTTCATCGACTGAGATGGTTGGGCCACGTATTACGTATGCCTGAACACCGATTACCGCGACGTGCAATGCTAACCGGTGTAGGGGATGGTTGGAAGAAAGTTAGGGGCGGCCAAACCAAAACGTGGCATCAGTGCCTGAAGTCACTAACTTCTAGTCTGAGCCATGTTGGTAGATGCAGACTACTTGGTTGGGGTCCGCGTGACTTTCGTAACCAATGGTTGGAGACCCTTGGTGACATGGCTCAGAATCGATCACAATGGCGTCGGTGTATACACTCTCTGTCTTCTCTTAAACTAAGAGATTAAGATCACTTCACATCTTTCTTTCTACGAACTAATTCTTTCTTCCTATACTATATCCTTATTGCAATCTTTCTCCTATATATTACCACCTTTGACCTAACCACTCCTATGAATCCAGTGTTCATCTTGCTGTGCTAATGAGGTATGGCAACCTGGGCCGATGCATACATGTGCCTGGTCCTACGTTGTAGCTGACTGACTGACTGACAATATGTTCACTTAAAATATTCATACGGTATGAGGTAAACTTTCTAAAGTGTGTTTACGCTTGAGTGATTAGTACATGTGATAAGCACAAATCCTGCTTATCAAATATGGCAAGATAAAAAATTATCCAGTAAAAAAATCAACCCGTAGTATGAATGTATCATACTACGTGGTTTTCACGTCACGATTGACTCTAGTTAGAAACTATTCTGTGTATTCAAAAAAATACACGCTAGTATTTAAAACATCAAAAAAAATCCTTAACTGTTAATGGTTATCTTCTGCGTTCAGTTACAAAAGTAAATTAACCTAGGTCCCTCACCAGAATAAATTCCCTTTAAAAACTTGTTACTATTATCAAGAGCATTTGATTAAAAATGTCACTCACATAGTTGAATACGGGCATAACTGATTGAATACATCTCACTGAATGGCTTATTCAAGTACGAATAGTACTTAACTCATTTCACTGTAGTTTAGTGGTTTCAAGGAACTTCTTTGTACTGCAGTCATATGAATATATAATTTGTCATATTGGTTATTTTCATCTAGTTTTCTGTGTATTCAACTTTTCTTGATAGATCGTTTATTGAGAAAACCATCTGACTTGTTTCGTTAAGTCATATATTTTTTTTTAAAAATAGTATAACATATTAGCTTACTTGTAAGTGCTCAAATCATCATCATGTTTATAGACAAAAATTCTATTACAATTTCATAATGTACTACTATTTACAATGTTACATTTATTACTTCTGTACTATTGAGTTTACTTAATTATTTTCAGATTTGAACAACCGGTTTAAGAGTAACCTCATTGGTTAAACAGATTATAGGGGAAAACAAGCACATAACCAGTCGAATAAACCTCCTTAGGGGCAGAAGAATTATAAGTTTAGACACACATCGCATTCGCGTATGCAGTTGTTCAGACTAATTTGACTAGTAATATGAATTCTATATACAATTTGGAAAGAAATTACTTACCAATTAGTGTAAAATGCGACAATTGTTGACATCTCCATGCTAGCATAACAAACGGATCAGGGTTGACATCATCAGGCGCTTTATACAAATTCGGTGAGTAAAAAACAAGATTTGATGAAGTAGATGATTGTGGAGCCTCGGAAAAATTGGAATAATAATTACAATCGTAAGGTAAATAATCACAATAATCATTAACATTGGTTTTAGTTGTATTGATACTATCATGCGTAGAAATGAGAGCTGAATGAGATACGACGCTTGTATCACTACCACCACCCTTATCGATAGCACTTTCCTCACATGCAGTTGATTTCATTATGCTCAAACTATCATTCCCATTTTTTGGTAATATAATTTCCGAATTAGACGAGTATTCAATTTGTTCAACCATCTTATGAAGTGATAATGGTGCTATCAATGATTGGTGTATTTGATCACCAGACAAACATGACCCTGACGGTACCGGTAAAGACGAAGATGATGAAGTCAAAGATAGACTGGTTGAAACGGGCAGCAAAAAATTACCTGAGTAATAATTATTATTACTACAACTTTTGTCTTCATAATCAAATAGATCATAGGAAGAATCACAGCTCAATATATCAAAATCACTTGTACTATCCAGTAATAATGAATGATGTGAGGAATAAGAACTGAACATTGACTGATAATCAGAGTCAACACAGTCGTAATTATCATAATTAATAACAGCATCATAAGAAATCGTTGCTGGTGTATTGGCAATAAATCTAATGATATTACCATTACTATTATTATTATGATCACTACTAGTAGTAATGGTAGTATATTCCGTATAATGAGAATTATTATGTAAAATACCGTTAGAATTGTTTGACATCACAGATATTATATTGAAAGTATCAATTAGATAGAAATGCTCTAGACTCATAGCAAATGTATCCATTAAATATTGTATAAGATAAGACAATGGATCTGGTTTACAATAGTATATATAAATTGAATTTAAAGGCAAAGCAGAAGGCAAAAGTTTGGTTGAAAGTAATTGATAAATTTGATTCTGTTCACCATATGGATGATGATACTCCCCTAAATGTTGTTCACGTTCATTTTCCAGTCGACATTGCACCGGTATATGCGGTGAAGATGAAGACGTTGGCGATGAGGATGTAGAAGTGACAGAATGGGATGGTGACATCGATGAATATGATGATGATGGTAGTGGTAATTGATTATCAAGTTCTTGAGTAGTATTTTGTATGAAAGACATTCGTTGATTGATTGAGTTCGAATGGATTGTTGATTGTTTGAGATCGTTTACACAAATTAGGAATAAAGTCACACGCAAATTAGGAAGTATTTCATGCACATGTCTCCAAATTTGATTTCTAGGATAGATGGGGAGACAAAAAGAAGCTAGACTAGAGTAACAGTTTAACTGGAAATAATGATGAAAAACAGTTGCTACCATCAGCTGGCTACACGTAGTCGAGATCAAAACGTCAATAATGAACAGCAGATTCAAGTCAGTCATAATTAACGTAGGATGGGGTCATAAAAGTTTTCTCCCCCAAGCTGTTACATTAAATCAGAGCATCAAAGTGAAATTAATAAGATAAATAGCCAAGGAACTTAAACCATAGCGTCGATGATGGTTGAAGAGGCTAAATACAAAATTTACTACTCCAACAAAAATTTACAGATAATGCGTTGTGGTTATCATCATCGACAACACAGTACATTTAATCGTTTAGCTAATTATTTGGATGTCTTATTTTTTTCAGAACTACACATGCACTGACAATGTCGATTTGTACCTATCAATCAGCATGATTAATTTAATCCTGACCGTAAGGCTATATATATGAATTTGGATAATCATAGCATGCAAACAAGTACACATCTTTACATAACACAAGATGAACACACTTCACACCAAATGATGACCGATATTCATAACTCGACATGTAGGCAGGATTGGACAACTGCTTTGTAAACTGTTTTTTTCGTGACCTATTTACATTTGGTCACTGATTATTTCCCTGGCGAAGCCTGGAACCGACTATAGAGTGAAGAGCTGAAGGTATCTTAATTCCAATCTGAGATTAAGGGGCTTATACAGCGTTAACAATACATTTAGTTGTTGCTGTCATCCGTATATGACAATTTAAGAAATTAGGACACGGTGTTCTAAAATCTGAGTAATAGCCCAAAATCCCTCTATAAACATACACCAGCTACCTAAACCGACAGATACATGAAACCTTGCATAATCAGACATGAGGTTACAGAACAAAAATATGACAGTATCCAGAAAGAATAATGAGATGACGTTTTTGGGAAAGATAAACATTGAGGGTATCCAACATACTTATCCATAAAAACTCCCATTTCATTTGAAATCATTCGATCTTTATAAATGATAGCCAAAATCCTACGTTCGCCCCCTAATACTTAGACAAAAATGTGTCATTAATTTCAAGTCTTTGTTTGACCAACCAAGTCTCTAGTGTCAAATATATTAAAAGACTCAGTAATTCAACGTACTTAAAATGTGTAATAAAATAATTACAAAACAACTTGATATTCCTAGTAAGTCAGTCGGTTACTTTTGATTCAGGAAATCGCATGAATGTCTACTGATCTAAGTTTCTACATGAAATCGGCACAATAAGAAAGAGAAGTAGTAAGAAAAACACATCAGAGAAACTAATTTCAACTGATATGGAAACAGTATACTATACAACTATTTAAGATCATAAAACTCACCGAATTATGGGAAGATCTTGAACACTGTTTTGTACAAAAAGTTTTAAAATACGAAGATGGTTTGAATTTCTCGATAAAATTAAAAGTATATCCTCCGAAAGATTTAGGTAATTAATAGAAAATTGGTTGAGGTTGGAAAATATAAATAATCTTGTATTTAAATATGACATGGATTGATTGATTTGAAATAATCTGATAATTTGTAATGATAATAAATTATGCTTTTGATTTTTTGTCAATGATTGTAATACACGACTGACTTCATAACTTCCACAATAAGTCCCACCCCAATAAAATTTTTTTAAACATTTAGCATTCATAATGACCTCACATAATGCATTTATTATTCTGAAGTTTAAAGGGGAAAAAGAATATATAATAACATACTTTTAAATACATAAAATGTAAAAATAGATAAGTACATGGTCGAATATTAAAAAAACATCCTTATAGCTTAAAATACAATGAAAATGTGTTTCTCTACCAAACAGTAACAGGGTAAATTGGTAGTTGAGCCATTCGAATTTTAACCCAATTAGGTTCCAGGCTTGAATCGAACTTCACGTTCACTGGCCCAAGCAGATCTCAAAAATAACTTCACAAGTCAAAACTGAATACATCAACCCGTATGGCTGAATTTGGTTGAAATTATCTCTTTTTCCTTTTTAGCAAACAATAGTAAAAATCTCATTGAAATAATGAGCCCATCAACGTTAGACAACCATTTAAAAACCTGCCAGCACAGGAGGGCCGTTTCTCCCTAGTATATGACTCCTCAACAGTGCGCACTAATCACCTCACAACGGGAATCAGACCCAGAACCCACCAACTCTCACGTGAAAGCTTAACCTCCGGACCACTGAACTGATGTTCAACGGCGTTAATGTCTAACTTCAACCAATCCACGATGTTGCGCGACCATCTTCCATTGTTCTCCATGGGTAACTGCCTCACACTCGACACGGTTGAACTACACTGGTCGCGACTTCTAACTAGAACTCCGAGAATTACCTCGCAAAGTTAGTCTATTTGGATGAAATTCAACAATCTCCACAACCCCGAAATGAAAATTATCATATGCTCAGTAGTGGTCTAAAGGTTAAGCGTTCGCTTGAGACCAAAGGTCCATGGTTTGAATCCCTCGTGTGTGATCATAGAGTAGCGCTGCTGAGGAGTCCGATACCAGGATGAAACGGCCATCCAGTGCTTTCAGGTCTTCACTGATGGTCTAACATTGATCGGTTTATGATATAAACAAAATACAGCAATCTCCGCAACTTCAAACCGAAAAGAGTAGAGAAAGATGAATATGCTTGTTTTATATTAATAGTATACTAAAAACTAAAAAATAGAAAGTCCAAATACGGGGATGTACATTGGAATAAAAGAATCATGCTTGTGGCTTCCGATGTTGATGGTTCTCGAATTTTGTAACCGAAGTGAAGTGAGTTGAACATGTGACTTACAAATGTGATATACGATCTTAGTAACCAAGTGCAAACCCGTGTATTACCGTAACCAATGGTTAGAGATGTGGCTTGGAATTGTTCGCAATATCGGAGGTGCATTCACTCTTTGTATCTCTCTAGAACGTGAGTCTGAAAGTCTCTTTGTAATCATAATTCTCCATACCTGATTTTTTCTTATTACTGGTGATACTGTTAATAGTTCTACTACTTTGAGATTTCTTTAGAGATAATTTTATCTCGCTGTATTAATGTGGGATAGCAACTTGAAATGATACACATGTTAGGATTTACGTTGCTTTCCTTTGAACTATTAATTTTGTACGGGTGTGGTAGTATTTCTAAGCTAAGCCGGATACTGTAGAAGGGATCGAACCTACAACACACGGTTTGAAAGCCGTCTTTCATTTTCAAGTGACTGCTCCACCATCACTATAACCGTATTGCGCTATACTTCAGAATAACCGGAAGACGGTTAGAAATATAGGTTTGGCTGATTAGATATATTTACATCAGTAAATCTACAAGTACGTTTGTTGCTCTTTGAACGGGGAATAGGAGAATGAAGAGGACAAAATTATGAAAGTGGGGGCCCACTCAGGAAATTTCAAAGTCTTGAACTGATAGAGAGAAATGCTTCTGGGTAGGTAAATACCTTTTGTACACATATGGATCACCCAGTTGTAGTTTATTCTTCATACAGAGTATTTAGTCAATCTCCAGTACCGTGGAAAGTATGTAAACAGTTGACATCCTCGTGGGTTACTCATATTATGAAAAACCATTTTCCTCTACGTAATTAAAACAAAAAAACATGACCAGTCTTGATGACCTCGCAACCCGATGGATTGATTGCAACGGTTAAGAAACTGTTTGGAACCTGCCACACATAACTGTTGAGCAAAATATTTTATTTTCTTATTTACCAAGCATAGATTAGTGCAATCAGTTTCGAGACACTATGGAGGTTAGCTGTACTATTAGGTATGGAAAATCGAAGTAGGTGGAGCAGGACTCGAACATGCGGCTAACTCGCTGAAAGTTAAACCCCTTAACCATTAATCCACTGCTCCACACATACACCCACGTACAGCACTTCTCAATAGGTTGTTGGGAACGAGTAAGTTTTAGAATACAAAACATCCCTGTGTAAAACGATATACTGCTAATTAGTTGAAAACAATTCCATCTAGCTCATTATAACCGGATGTTTTTGTCTCAATTTAATCATGGAGCGTCGGTGGAATTAAGGTAACATATAGCCAGTGATCTCAAATTAATAACAGCAACTATAATACCTTATCAAAGGTCACAGGTCGTCCCGTCTACTGTAGGAAACTATTACAAATAGAAGGATGACTGTTAAACCGAAGTGAAGTTTAAGGTACTTTAGGAAGGGAAGTGAGCACAAGTAGTACCCTTACGATCAATTATCTGTGGACAGTTTGACTCATTTGTATAGTCCCGGGAAATCTTGGGACTCAACTCTAAAGTTATGTGGGTGAGAGATATACGAAAGTAAATGGCTTTTCTAAATAATATAAATAAATCTCCATCAAACATGATTTCCGGTCAATTTGCATCTGTGTCAACTGTGTTTATTTATCTCTGCACCTCTTGAATACCTTGTTAATTAAGAATGTAATTTAAATTTTTCATAATTGAAACCCTCTGAGTCTTAGACATATTTTATCAGCTATCATTAGTTTACTTGTTACCTTCTCGTAAATTTGAAGTCGTAAGTCATTGATAACGGAGTACTACATGGTGAAATGGGTACCTGGGTGTAGTTTAGACCTAAGCATTACTGTTGAAAAATGACTATGCATTTATCTCAAAATTGTAGAGGCATGTCAATTTACTCGACGAATTAGGATCCAAAAAACTGTGTCAAGTTTGTAATCCATCAACAACGGTTGAGAGATACCGAAGTGTCTTTAAGAATCCTTACCCACTTACTAACATCAAAGAAAGTCATGTTATTGGGTAATGGAGACTAGAGTATCGAGTCAAATAAAGATTAGAGTTGTCAACACAGACTGACACCGACAATGCCAAAAATGAAAGTTGGTCACGGGGATTTCTGTGCCGAAATACAAAACTCGCAACCTTAGGTCTGATTGGTTTGTCCATAAGTTATAATCTCGCGACAACACTATGTGGACAGACTGCATGTACATGAATAGATATGACACAGCTCGTTCACAATTTAAGTTAAAGGAAATAATTTTCCATAACATACTTTTTTGAAAGTCGGTTCGAGATATTTAGAGAGGATTTATTGTATAAAAGTTTTAATGTCGGTCGTAGGGAAATGGAATGTATTCCAGCATTCGAACACAAAGCACTCAGTGTGTATTCCAAAACAGCAACATGAGACTCATTCCTTGGGTCGAATTCAAGCGAAACCTCATTACAAATTTTCATAGGGATAATCTGATTCTTGAGAGCTTCAACTTCTGGAAAATTAGGAGGACATATATGTAGTTTCTTCCATACAGATCTATCGGTGTATGCGACCCCACGCCAGTGTTTGCATACGGTAGAAACATAAACAACTTCATCGCCTAAATAACTGTATATACGCTTTACAATATGGTAAGGCAAAAAGCTCCAAGACTGAACCGACGAACCAAAGTCCAATGCCATACGATATAACCGCCAGTCATTTGGGGGATTAACGGCCTAACAGAATTAATAAATTAAGCATTAAAACGCAGGCCAACAAACAAAGAACATTCACCTCTTTTGTGATTTATGTATGACTTCACGATTAGGCTGTGTAGTATTCTTGCTTGTAGATGTTCAGATCTCAAATTTGCTTGGAAGAAATGGAAACCAATTTGTTTCTTAAGATATGTAGAGCTAGTGAAATTTCACTGGGGAGTTGCCAAATCATCCGGCAGTTAGGTCACTGGATGTTGAACAGTTCATCGATCGCCGTCAAGGTTGAGGACAGCCAACGTGCATCAATTAACCGTACGTCATAGACTGGTCCATGCAGTAGAGGTCACAGTTTTGCTTGTACCTACTCTGATATATTTCTGTTATAATATCCTATGTGTTATACGGTCTTAAACGCAACCTTAGTACCTTCATACGACGAAGGTGTAGTCCATGCTAGGTGCTGGACGTTGCTTGTGACTTCAGCGTTAGCTGTTGGTCACACCATTGCCATCTAACTCGAGTAGGCTCCCAATCATGCGGCATAGATTATCAACGTTGTTAATCTACCGATCTGAGTTCCGGTTGACAGACAAGATTCTTCTTTATGGGGAGGTAAAGACTTTTGTTTCAGTCCTTCAAGATACAAAATCCTTGTATGATAATAGGAATAACTGAGGTAAATTTCCCCAGAAATTATTCTTCAGTGCTAATGATCAACATGCAAACACATTCACACTTTGAAACTGAATATGTAGGCGGTTTTGTTCTAACAATATCCACAATCTCTTGATCGCGCTAGCGTGTTCAGGATTCCGTTCTCTCCTCCTAAATGCAAAGTATTGCTTCAAGACTAGTCTGTGTCAACGTCTAAACTAGTGATAGGGAGTGAAGTAGTCGAATGTGTCGACCGCTCCACTTATCTTGGAAGTTTCGTCAGACCTGTTGAGTATGTGTCTATTGGAATATTGGGACTAGTTCAGAAAAGTCGGTTGGCTTTTGCCAACCTGTGTCACCTGTGTTGTGGGGGAGATGTTCCTATGTCGACCAAGAGAGTATTATATTGCACAGCAGTTTACTCTGTTATTTTTTATTGTTGTGAAACAAGGTTTTCGGAAACAGAGGACATTCGTGAGTCAGCAGTTATGGTTCATGCACTGAATATTTCCATCCATCTACTATCCTGACGGACAGTAGTTGCTGATAATAAATTACATTAGATAAATTTTAGAGACTCCAAGACCATGGCAAAAGATCAGTCCATGAAGCCGCTGACTGTTCGACTGGGTCATGTAAGTAGGTGCAGACTATCTAGTTGGAGTCCTTATGACTGTATTGACCGATGTTTAGAAACCTTCTGTGATACTGCATAGATTCGTGGGCAATAGATGAGGTGCATTTGTTCTTTGTCTTCTCTTAGATCACAAGTTTCTGAATGTTTTTTTTTTATCCCACTAACTTACATTTTCTTGTCCGATGGTATCATTTATATTTCAACGCTTTTACCACCTATATCACTCAGTGATTTGCCCTGGCAGTTTCACCTATTTTTGATAATAAATTTCAGTAAATTAAAACGATGCATGTGTGTGAGACGTCCTAAGCTGCGTACGACTGACTTAACAGTGAAACTAAAATTAACGGTAAATCATTAAGTGCCATTAACACTGCTTCTGATAGCGAATCTGACATATTATAAATTCTAAAGATGAAAAACTTCATACAAATTTTTGCGTCTTTATTAAGATAACTTCTTAGATATAATTTTCACTGGATTGCATTAGTAATCTATTGAGATAACGCGGATTATGATTGAAGTGAATCATCATGATTGTATTCCTCCTTGTCTGTCTGTACAACAAAATTTACCAGGCTAATGGAGGCAAACTTTTCTAGTAAGATTGACATTTTAGCTTTTAGTTTCCTGTTGATCTGACTCCAATTCGAAACAACACATGAACATGTAGAATTATAGTCTAGGTTCGTTATTTGTACTGCTGTATTGATAGACCTATACATAGAACTATATAAAAACAGTCAAGGTCGATAAGCGAATAATTGGCAAGGCCGGAATGTGACTCAAGAAGAATAAATAAGTCTATCTGTCTGGGAGCTAGAATAATACAATGAGTACTCAACACTACATGTTCTGGTGGACACTTCTGACCGAAGTACTTATTTTAGGAGCATAAATATTACTTCTATCTATTGATTACTTCATTCTAAATCGCCCGTAGGATCAATATTACTATAAATTGGAAGTTACAATGTAGGTATAGCTACGCTTCGAACAAAGAAGAGATTAGGCAGTAGGTCTGTAATTACCTAACAAAGACTCACGGAAGGTAAGAAACGATAGTTTATGTATCACATTGAAAATTAGTATTACAAGAATATAAGAATGGGACTATCTAAATGTCTCATACATATTCGGTAAAGATATCAGCAACAATTCTTGGAAAAGTAGATCCCAAATTTACGGCTCTCACAATATTCACGTCGTTAAAAAAGCACATATTTATGAAAGCTTTGATAGATTACAGGTTACTGTATGCAGGTGGTCAGCTTCCATCTGTTCTTTAATGTAAAGTAAGGAAATATCCTATTGTATTACAAGAGAAGGAAGAAGTCACGGATTCGGTCCTAAAGAACTATCAACAGTAAGTGCCACTCATGTAATAGTGATAAAGTGTGCCTTAATCATGAGAAGAGTTACATGAATTTGTTCTAGCTCGGTTGGGTCATCACGATAGGCAAGCCCGACCACCGCGTCAAGGTAGTATATCCTGATTAAGTAGCTAAGAATAAAAACTACCTTTTTATAATAACCCTCCTTTGGCCTGAACTATGAAAAGGAAGAGGACTCTTGTTGCAGTAAAAGTTGAAATAGATTCTTGAACCTTCCACTCACCAAAAACCATTACAGTGAATATATCACTTTTAATTCAATTTCAATAAATTTGTTGCATCAAGCCTTGGTATTTAGTTTTTTATCATCTTATCCTGGGCTCTCGAAATCAGTCCTGGTTAAATTTGAAGCTTCAGATCCGTTGTGTGCCTCTAATTTATTGCAAAGAACATTATCTTTAAAGCCATCAAACCTAGATCAGGAACTATAATAATAATACTATATTTCTGCCAGGGCAGGTACACGCCATTTTTACAGGCCTGATCTATAATATACAACACTGAATTGTTTGCAGTATGTTTCCCGAGTAAGTTTGTTAAATAAATGGAGCCAACAAAAATATGAGACATCTAATTCGTGCAGACGAATCAGAGAGCGAATGATCAGGTTTATGTTTTACCATTTCAATGAGTACCTGTCAAGTGGCGTCTCTATTTTCTTGAAACTTTGCAGACGATGCTACTCATAAATAACGTATTGTAACGATTTTAAGTGCTTCGAACTATTTAGTGTTCTGAATTCATTGTCATGATAGGTGGTTCGAACAATTTTGCGTGTTATTGTCCGTTGACAAACTAACTAAATCTCACAACTTCGTTTAAATGCCAGATTTTTCCATAAAATCGTTGTAAATCTTATAGCTTTCCCAAAGCCAGCGATAGTTTTGAATAAGCGCTCCAAAATCTATGTGGCATAATTCGCAAGACGTGAATTTGGTACATGTAGATTGCTTACGCCTCTCAATGTAAAATTACAACAACCAAAATTGTTTACATATGAAAGGTACAATAGAATACGTATTATGAAACCAAGTTTAGCTTTATTTCAGCATTTCATTCTGACAACAGACTAAAAAGCCTTCTTTTTCACTACATTTTTAAACAAGGTATTGCAATGCGGAAACTCGGACGAAAAACCAACTCCCTAGTTTCAGAGTATGTGTAAAGTGTTTTAGAGGTTCTTTTAGGGTTTTTTCGGCGGTCTGATGTAATTTATAATTATCTATCTAATGTTCACCTTTAACCATAATGACTTTAGCAGTTTGATTGTTTCCTCAATCTTTGAGGTTTTCAAACCCTTGTTTTCTAATCTATCAGGTTAGTCAGGGATGAAGTAATGAACATACAAGGATAAAAAAAGCCTACATGTGAGTATTGTTAGAGTTTTAATTAAGTTATTGCGTCTGTGAATTAATTAACTAAATATTATGTATCATTGGAATAAGTATTGATTCTTACCAATCGTTTACTCGGTGCAAATTGATGCAGCTTTGAGGTAAATTGCTGAAAAATCTCTACCTGATTGAGTATGATTATACTGGTAGTGCTACTTGGATGCAATGCGCTTGTTATTACAAGCTGTTTCAGTGATGAATATGGGGAGGTACAACACTGTTATGGGCAACGTCAGTTTCCATAAAAATGATCCAGGCAATCAGTGTATGGAGTCGCCTTAAGCTCACCTATGTTTTACTTGGTCATGTGGGCTGAATGAGGTATCGCAGTAGCAGTAACCCAAGCATCCTAGCATTGAAATGGGCTTCACTTGTGTTTCATCCCATATACAGCAGCAGTAGGATGGTCAAATCACAACCAGTTACAGTGCCTACTGGTGGCTGAAACCCTTTTAGTATATATAAAACAATATAAAACAATCCTTCTTGCTCATACTGATACAAGTACAATGAGTTTGAAAATAAATATTTGTTAGGAACCGTATTTTAATTATGCATGCTTATTATCAAGTAAGAACGAAGTTCTTAACGAATTGGAATACGATACAATACGATGTAATAAGGGCTGATCATTTTCAAAATGGAAGTAACAATAATTCAAGTTACTACATCATATTAAGGAAGTATAAGTTTATATGGTGAAAAGCTTTACATGAACCGGATGAGGTGATAAAGTTATAAGAGCGAATAAGGGCGTTGATGGAAGAAAGCGCATGATAAATGAGCAGCACTATCGAATTCAGTATAGCCAGACTAAAGAACTTTACGTTGTATGATTTGACAACTAGACACATTGAGCAATGGTAGTTATACAGTTGCAGAACTTTGAAGGGACATGATTTAAAAGGCGAATAATAGAACAAAT